GAGAGTGTGTTGGATTGAAGAAATGTGGATTGATCTTATAGGGTAGACTGTGCAAGGCTGGATGGGAGGTTGCGGAGCGAAGTAAAACATGGTGTCAGTTTCTTGAGGGCTCGAGGAGTCTCCTCTTTGTACTCTATCCAGTATCTTCTGTTATGGAGTGCCGTATGTAGTAGGTCAGGGCTGTAGGTTGGCTGCGTTCAATTGGGGGGCGGCAGGAGAACTAGAGAGAGTCAAGTATAGTTCTCGGCTTAATTGCTCGGATCTCATACAGCTCCAGCTCCAGCTCCAGCTCCAGCTGTAGTCACGAAATCGGAAAGCTCTAACTAGCTTGACCGCAAATCTTAGTCGAAAATGTAACAAAACAAGACTAGCTAGGTCCTATGGTCGATAACATCGCGCGAGAGATCTCGAGATACCGATATCGCCTACGGTGTAGTGCCTGCAGAAGAGCCTCGTCGCGGAGAATAACAACAAAAACAATCAAGCCAGCCGCACCACATCATCACATACAACACGAAAACCCTCAACAACCTGCATGATGCAACCAAAGGAGCCGCGGCGGTAGGGACGCACTTGAGCCCGGGAAATAGCGGACAAGAGGTTTTGAACCGGCCAAACTATCGTGGTAGGGGAGTCCTGCCGAGTGCTGGAACTCGGCATGCATGCATTCAGATTACACTTATGCGCTCCGAGGGCCCCTCAACGACTAGTTGGCCTATAAAACAATTCACATCGCGGGAAGACTCCGTAGCGCAAGCCCACAGCTGTACATCATCACACACACACCAGCACCAACGAGTCCCACTCTCGGGCGTCAGGATCCAAGGACTCGGCCGGATCTCGCATTTCGATCGAACTTATTGCGAGTAGCCAATCATTGCGTGCCGGGTTGCAGGTAATAGTGGTAATGCTTTATTTAATTTCTTTTTGTCAGGCTGCGCTCCACTTGGGGGGATGATTTTAGGGAGGGGCTTCACCTGAAACACTCCTTTCTGCCTTGTGGGGAAATGACCTGCCCACTCGTTATTTCCCCTCTTCCTGGACTCGTTTGGGCTTGTGATTTGGCAGGTGAATTCATCAAGACCCGGCACTGGGCGTAGACTGTGGTATTTTCTATTACACTCACATCGGAAAAAGAGCACCTCTGGATGAACGGACCAAGTACGGTACGGACGGGGTTGGCTTGGCTTGGCCTCGTTTGAAGTGGAGCGATGGTGGCCCTACGGAGAATAAATCCATGCTTTTGGCCACTCACAAAGTAAAGTCTCGTATGAAGGACGGAGGTAGAATTGTAGATAGTACCGTAGTAGTGATCGTGAGTAGATTGCTAATCATGACATTCGCAGGAAAAAGTTAATCCAGGCAAAGGCGTCGCGGAAAACAAGCAACGAGAACTAAAGAACCGGTTCATGGTAACGACCGGGCTGACGGTACAACTGTAAAGTCCTGGTACATTTGCCATTCCACTTGCTCATCCACCGAAGTACGTACAGTACTACGTACAAGGATGAAGCATGAAGCATGAATGACTAACTATCTGTACGACCGTTGGTTTACTGGACAGCACCTGCCAGACCGTTTCGCCACATGCCCATTTAAGTATCAGCATGGTCGATCATCACGACTGACCGTTGGCGCCTCACAACCATCCCATCCCGTCCAGAGTCCTGTGGATTGGCCCAATTCAAGGCTCCAAAGCACCTCGATCGAGACTCCTTCCAAATCGAAACGATGAGGGGAACGAAAACGAGACTATAATTCAAGCACCCCCCGCCCCCCTCCCACGACAGCCCGCGAATTTAAAAGGACGGGATAGGGAACAGAAAGTCTAGACCAGGTGGGCTCGTCGTCTGAAGGGAAATCATGCTTCTGGACCATTGCGGAGTCTTTTGTTGATCTTTATTCACGGGAGAGTGTCAACCCGCGGTTCGGGATCTGACAACCACAACGCCCTCCGCCACGGGCAGGGCAACGGTGGGGGTAAAATTGCAGGGCAGTCGAAGGTTGGGAGAAGTGACATGCGATAGATCACGTGTAAAGACTGACAGGGTTGTTATCTTCTCTGTACATGGTAGTTAGTTGGGTTGTTGGTCGACGTGGCAAAGGACTGGCTTTGGTGGTGCCTGAATGGATTCATGGCCTGGTGCCTGTCAGGTACCGGTGAGCGTGAAAGGATTCAATGCCGTGCTGGATTTTATGCAATAGGAGGTAGTTGGTAGTACCGTCACGATGTACGATGGCGATACTACTGGAATACTCGATGCAATGCTATGTAGAATACTCCGATGCATCCTTGGACATGGAAGAGCATACGAACAGAATCCACTAGAGTATAATCTCCATCCTTGGCTTCGGCCGATGCATCTTCTCTTTGATCGATTCCGATCCACACAATCTGCCCATGAAACAGCTCTCGTGACCCTCGAAACCTTTCATGCCGGACGTATGTTTCTATGCCTGCATTCTGATGCCATAGAAATCTATACTATCCCTCCGCTCGGCTTGGCAGCGCTACTCGGTGAACAAAAGCTAGCTCCTTGAAACAACAGCAAGCCGTCTTCTCGTTCAGCGATGTGGTTCTATACTCTTTTTGGTGTTCTCCATTCTGATTGTTCCTACGGTGTTCCGATCTATGGCTTAGGATTTCCTTTCAACGCATTATCTATGTACGCTCATACCATCCGTGGGGCATGTCTTTCTGTGAAAGACACGGTCATCGAAGACAACTATTGCTCAATACGCCTCAGGATAGTGATCAATTATGACTTGTGCACAGCCCAAATCCCCATGTCTTTGTTCAAGTCGATATGGTTCTGGCAACAATGAATAGCGTATTTCGAGTCCCATTCCCATTCCGAGCCCTAAGCTCCCAAAATCCGTAGTGTTCAAAGATCAAAGCACAGAAAGATAGCCATGCAAAATAGGAGAGCGACTCTGAACTGGAAACAAGACAAATCGAGTCTTCAATCCCACCTTGACGGTTTCTGTTTCTCAATCATTTGCCTTCCAATTCCGTAGCTATATTCAAGAATCGTACTTTGAAGTATCACTTGTCCCTTTGGTTTCCAACGAAGATGGCTACATCAAAGGGTTCGGTACGGCCACCCTTCTCTCTGCACTATAGTCTGCAACTGAATGAATACAGCAATTCGTTACCAGCCTTCAATAGGGGAATCGTTGGGTAAACACCAAGACTCTACGTGGCTTCAAGAATCCCGACGGGACGACGTGCTATCGAAATGCAATCCTGCGGATGCTCTTCCACCTACCGATATTCTTGAACTGGGTAAAAGTGGCGATGGAGTCACACGTCAGCTCGGACGGAGTCTGCTTAAATCCAAAGCAGGATGACGAATCTGACGAGGACGGAAACTGCAAGACGTGTCTGCTCAAAGATCTGATTAACGCATTCTGGAATCCAAACCCGAACAAGACCTGGTTTGATTCTGTCTTGAACGAATTCTCTAGAAGGCTATTTTGAGAGACTGGATCACTGCATCGCGCGTGAACGGCGCCGATGGTAGCAACAAGAAGCTCTCGAGCTTTTTCTCAAAGTTAGTTCAGCAGCTCGAGGGAGGACGTTGTAAAAGGGTCGGTGCGAGTATTACTTGGTCTGATGATACTTCTTCTTCAACTGGCTTGGTTCTTACGAAGCTAATACTTGCAGTCTCACAGTTTGTTTTCCTGGGGGATATTTTCTCGATTGAGGTCGCCAATAAAAGGACATGCGGAGGTGTCAACGGCTTTGGTGCTCTTGACATCGTACTTCTCCCAGACCCAGAAACAAACGCAGGATCCTTGAAGAGACACTTGAAAATTCTTTTACCAAAGATTATATCGAAGGAGCATGCAATTCCTACCAAGGAGACACTCTGCAGGAACAGCTAGTGCGTACCGAGCATCGGAAGTTCTCTTGGTTTGTCTCCATCGAATTGGGGAGCCCAAAGAGGGTTTTGCAAAGACGGAAGTTGTATTTCCGGGAGGATTGGTGTTTTGGCAAGAGTGGCTTGCTCCTGACCTTGGTGATATTAGAAAGGACATCAAATATGCCCATTCATCGGTGCTGCTGCGATCAGAGAACACCAACGCAGGTCAATATATGGCTGTCGTCACGAGTCAGGATGGAACCTGGACACTCGCAAATGACACAAACCTCAGTACATACTAGCCCTTCGAGGCAATGGCAGCTTCCAAGTCCGCCAGAAATGATACGCCTTTTTGTATTGCCGACTTCCCCTAGTGACCCGGGTCCTACTATCAGCTTGAAAGATTCTCTTCAACTCGCCAAAGGCAGCGGTGTTGGACTCGCAGATAAATCGACACAATTACAGGCGGGCATGTTGCCAATGGTGCCGGTATCGGGTTGGAAAGGAAGCAGCCTGGTAAACTGGAGATCAAATTAACTGACAACAGCGGAAAAAAGTCCTTGAAAGTGCACGCTATAGAGTATCTCTGGAATAACTTGATGGAGAATTCTCGGAGATCGAGGCCCGTCGCTGAAGAACGGCTAATTTGAAGCCCCTCTCTGATGCAGTTATTCCAAAGCTGATCAAGGTGACTGCGAATGCAACCGAAATGAAGACTAAAAAGTCATCATCCAAGCCGGTCAAGAAGGAGAAGCGTCAGCCAAAGGGGTCATGGAACTCGCAAGTCTGGCCGGATAGCTAAAGCTACAACTAGCGCTAAGAAGAGTGTCCATGAGTGAAGATTAGAGGGATTTGAATTTGTGTTTTTCATGTTTTCGTTAGAGTTATGTTGATTGATCTCAGGCTTGACTGGGGAAATCGGACGCAGTCTCTCGTTATATATTTTGATGATGTTCATACTGAATTTCGAATTTCTTGGTTTTCAATTTCAACTTACAAACTTGACCGATAGCCATTCAATTCTGTAAATAACTGAAATCTACGAACTAGAAATTTGACTTGACAATATCATGTTATAGCTAGTATAAACCCGGCCGGCTCCCTCAATCTTCTCATCCGACCCGCTTGGCACCTCCTCTCTTACCACACCCAAGTCCAACTCATTCAAGACATGGATCTCGACTCATCTCTCAACAACCTCCCAAGCTCAGCAGGATTTATTGATCAGCTCATATCCGAGCTGTCCAGCTTCCAACCAGAGCTACCCACTGCTGAACTAGACCCGCCGAGGACACAAACCGCACACCAACCGAAGCAGCCACAAAACGCACTATCAAGGCTCTCGGCACATCAACTCGCCAAAGTAAAGCCTCTTCTACTCACATTACACTGTCTCTTCCCCAACGATCTCCTTCCAGCCCTGGACATTCTAGATCGGAGGCTCGTGCAGCGGATTGTGATGCGCGGGGACAAAATCCATGCCGTGCCATCGGCACCTACCCAGGACCAAACGGCGTCCCCGGGGAACGAAGAGATACGACACGATGCAACCAACACGATCTATCCAAATATGCTGGATGAAACAAGCGACGATACCCTTGACGAAGATCCGTTCCTATTCTTAGTGACATCCGCCTCGTCGGCCCCTGTACACCCCATCGTCGCCACGGGAGCACCATCATTATCAACATCATCAACTACACACGCCACATACCAACCACAAAAAGTCTACGAAGTCCGCCTCGATGCCTGGAATTGCACATGCCCCACCTTTACGCTCTCCGCGTTCCGCGACCTAGACTCCCGCCTGTCCTCAATTTCCAACCCCAACGCTCCTGCAGAGCTCCCATCCGAGTCTGCAATGCTGCGTGACCGGGACGATGGATCTGCAGTCTACCCTTTTGGTGGGACCTTGACTTGTACCACGGACCGGGCTTCGTCGCCAGTATGCAAGCATATTCTCGCCTGCGTGTTATTTGCGCGGTGTCCCGGGCTGTTCTCGGGTAGAGGGGATGCAGGTCGCGGCGTTTCCATGGAGGAAATGGCTGGCTGGTGTGCGGGATGGGGTGGTTGATTTCGGATTTGTGATGTTGAATATTGACGACATCCACCTAGGTGCAGTCTCTGGCCCTATTGGATAGTTTGAACCCTAAGTATTAGGCTATTTGCTCCGCTGGTTCGAGCAAGTGCTGGCGAGGCGCTTGGGATGAACTGTTCTACGACGCCACACGCCGTGGCCATGTCCCCCGTCAGCCAGCCCCATACTGCGGGCAGAACCCACAAGTCTAGTAGTGCATGCATGAGTCCTGCGAGGAAGGGGTCGGTCTACTATTCATTACGGGCAATTACGGGCGGAACAGAGCGATGCCAAAGCAAACTGCAGTGGCGGTGAAGAGAGTTGTCAACAGCCACCTGGTCATATCCTTGATTATTCCGTACTATACACTGCCAAGCAGATGCAGTTCTAAAGCGGTCATAACATATCTCGGTGGGCATGGATTCCTCCCAAGCGGGGAAAAGAAGAACAACGTGGTCCCAAAAGAACAATGGAAGGAAAGCATCACTCTTAGCTCTTCTTCTTGCTCTTGTCAGAGCCGTCCTGCTCCTCCTTTTGCTCGCCATTCGACGAGCCAGCCTTCTTGCCATCCTTCTCACCCTTGGCCGCGTTGACCTCCTGCTCCCGCTTCGAGTCACTTTCCTCCTGCTGCTGTCGGTTCTGGATCTTGTTCTCGATCAGGTCGTGGAATGCCGTGATAGCGCGGATCAGACTGCTAATGTAGATAGCCATCAACTGATCATTAGTCTTCACACTCATTGCCCGAGCCAGTTCGCTGTTCTCGATTTGTGTCTCCTGGCCACTGATCCGTTGTGTGGTCGTTGGGGTAGACAGGTTGGGAAGGAGGTTGAAGACATCCTGGAGGTTACCAAGGATGGCGTGGTTGACGGGGAGTTCATGGTCGAGGACCTTCTGGAGATATTGGCCAATATCACGCAGCCGGAGGTGCAATCCTTGCAATGACTGCAGCTGTGACGTGATGCGGGTGGAAAGCGTGCCGACGGCGACGTCTCTAATGTCTCGGAGCAAGTGCTCCACGCCAATCTCCTCGGCCTCTTCGGCCTCGATTATCGATGGTGTGTGTACGAAAGTCCTGGAGGTTGTGGTTCCGTCCTATATAGTAGAAGGTGCCCCAGATTAGCTTCATAATGTTGTCATAACACTGCTTCAGCGCCCATCCACAACGATCAACGTACATCCTTAATCTCATCCACGGCAAAGTAGGCATCCGTAGGCACGCCGACCTCTTTCGGCTGTACATCGACAATAACCAACAAGGGGTTCGGGGTGTATTTCTTGAAGAGCTCATTGATCTCGAGATCGGAAGCGCGCAACTTCGGGCCGGAGTGATACCAGCCAACCAGCTTCTCACGAGCATTGATCTTCTTGAACATGTCCCTCATCGACTCGACGAAATTGTGATCCAAAAACCAGACTGAGGGGTCTTTCTCATCCTCCTCGAACGGAACTAGATGCGGGAGCACCCAAACATCGTCAGCCTCACCTGCGGGACTAACTTGTTGACAGCAATGGAGAGCTCGAAGACATACCTGCGAAGCTGTTGGATACGCGCACATTGTTGCCATAGTTCTCACCCAGCAGCACACCAACTACACGTTTCCGAGTGCCCTTGGCTGTGCGCCCATAATGATCGGCGACGGAGAGCAGGACTAACGGGGCAACCGTGACGGAGCGGTTGACGAGGGATAGTGTGTCCGCCGTGGTGGCAGGCATGGTGGCGGTGTGGAGGGCGAGAAGGTCAGTGAAAGATGTAGGAGCTTCAAAAAGCAACTATCAACGAGAAAACAAGGCTGTGGGTTCGAAGGGAATGAAGATTGATGAGGCTGAAGAGAGTGTTGCTTTCAACTTGGGGAACAGGAACGATGATGCTCCGAGAGCTTCTGGCACGCGCCACACAAACTGCGCCATTGAGGCTGGTGGCTTAGATAAGCCGTACCTGGTGTTGCAATTCCAAGTTTCCGGCCACTTTGTCTGTTGGGGGAACATAGTGAGATGGCAATAGGATGATAATAGTATATAAAGATACGTCGCGAATTGAAAGAAGGCTTACTCTCAAACAACCTAGATGAACTGATTGTATTTACTACCCCATTCTGTATTTACCCAACACAATAGAACCTACTTTCGGTCCGTCAGATGCATTTCCGGCAAATGTAGTTTCGCCCGCGAGTTGCTGCTCCGAACCTCGGGCGCTAAGTTTCCTTCCCTTCCATTTCTCCGTCGCTCCGCTCTCAAGCCTTTCCATTCCACCCGTCTGCAATTTCACGACTCCACGAACCCTCTCCCCTCCACCTCACATTTCACAATGGCACCAATTACCGACGACGTCGTTTCCAGTCTGAAGGACACCATCGGCAAGCTGGAGGCCCGGGTTGTCGAGCTCGAGGGCCGCCTGACTGGCAGCAAGCCCAAGTCCGTGACGGAGCAGATCCGCGTCATTCTGATGGGACCTCCCGGTGCTGGTATGGTCTTGGAACATTGCAATTAAACCGATTGAGCTGTATTAATGCGTTCTTTTTTCTCAATTCTCCAGGCAAGGGTACTCAAGCCCCGAACATCAAGGAGAAGTACTGCGCGTGCCACCTGGTCAGTAACCGCCCTGCAGATATGATCTAACGAGCGCGCATTGTTTGCTGATACCCCATTCTTTCTGAATTAGGCTACCGGAGATATGCTGCGGTCACAGGTCGCGAAGAAGACCGAGCTCGGCAAGGAGGCTAAGAAGATCATGGACCAGGGTGGTCTTGTCAGCGACGAGATCATGGTTAATATGATCAAGAGCGAGTTGGACAACAACACCGAGTGCAAGAACGGGTAGGAAAATCCCCTTCGCTCTCTACTGACCCTTGTCGACAACAAATCATTGTGAAGAGAATCTTCAAACTAACAATGTAATGAAATGACTAGTTTCATCCTGGACGGTTTCCCTCGTACCGTTGCTCAGGCCGAGCGCTTGGACGACATGCTTGCCTCGCGCAAGCTGCCTCTCCAGCACGCCATTGAGCTGCAGATCGACGATGCCCTGCTCGTGGCCCGTATCACTGGCCGTCTGGTGCACCCTGCCTCTGGCCGCTCGTACCACAAGATCTTCAACCCTCCCAAGAAGGACATGGTTGACGACGTGACCGGCGAGCCTCTGATCCAGCGTTCCGACGACAACGCCGAGACCCTCACCAAGCGCCTGGCCACCTACCACGCCCAGACCTCGCCCGTCTGCGAGTACTACAAGAAGACCGGTATCTGGCGCGGCATTGACGCCAGCCAGGAGCCTGGTCAGGTGTGGAAGAGCCTGTTGGGTGTCTTCCACAAGACCCAGTAAAGTAATGAGGAGTCTCACTTGGGAGGAAAATTCTTTATGCGCTTAGGACGTGGTCGAACAAGCAGTGCCATTTCCGAAAGCGCCAACATGTCGGTCAAAAGAGGCTGACTGGGGGTGGATGAATTGCCAGTCAGGTTTCGCCCTCATGTGCTCTCCCCTGTTTGTTGTTTCTTTTTTTTTCTTTCTCATTTTCTTTTGTCTCGGGTTTGATGGGTGGAAGAGCATACGAGGAGCGAGGGACTGGTGATACCGTTCGCATATAGACGCAGAATAATTGTCTCTCAAGGTCATGTATAGTACGTGTACTTTGTTTTGGTACCAATCAATCTCACGGCAGTTGACTGATCCGTTATAACACTACAAACTACTCCAGAAAATAGTACCACGGTATCTTGCCAGACTTTCTATGCTGGGATTGTAGTCTCGGCGTAAATGGGCGTGGAGGGCTTGTCACAGATATACTACCTACCTCTACTCCATCCGTCCAAGTCCATATCACTTCGTGTATAGAGATCGATGGAAGAAGCATTCTAACCACTACCAAGTATCTCCAAAGCATAATCATATGTATTGTCAGATATACATCTCATGTATCTACACCTCCACACTTACAACTGCAACGGATACTCCGTCGACTCAATCTTAGCCGGATACACCAACCCACCCTGCCGTCTCACCTCATCCATCACCTCCATAATAACGATGCTCTCCTCCCACGGCATCCCCTCACTCTCCACCTTCCCATCCCTCAAACACCGGGCCACCTCATCCGCCTCCCAGAACATCCCATGTCCCCCGGCCGGGAACGGACACTCTACATCACGCACCGGTCCTGCACCCTTGACAGGAATCACGCGATACCGCGTCGGCCGGAACGGAAGCCCAAACACCTGAATCTCGCCCTTGGTGCCCTGGATACGAATGTTGGGGCCCGAAGTGCCCTGCTCGTCCGGGTCGCCCGAGACGCGGATGTTGGTCATTGCGACGCCGTGCGAGCGGGCAGGGTGGCCAGCGTTGGTGGGCGTGCTGGTGGGGAAATTGAGGATTATAGTCGTGGATTCATCGGCACCCGTAAGGTGGTAGGGGGTCATTTGGGAGGTGACCGTTGGCGGCTTGCGCTGTTCCTTGGGGAGCGTGTGGTACAGGGTTTGGAAGACCCAGGTGAGGGAGTAGATTCCCACTAGAACGAGAGTAGATTATTAGCACGAGATTTTTCTCTGGACATCATCCTCTTTGTTATAGAAGACAGCACAACTTACAATCTAACAACGCACCACCCGCCAAATCCGGATTCACCATGCGATGCGTCGTCCCCCACTTCTCCTCGACATCATCGCCGAAACTCGTGTCCGCCACCGTCCTCAGTACCTCCCCAATCTCTCCACTCTGGATAATCTCCCGAACTTGCACGCTCAGCGGGAAATAGCGAGTCCAGACTGCCTCCATCAAGAACAGACCCTTCTCCCGCGCGGTCTCGCACAGAATCTTCGTCTGTGCCGCATTGACCGTGAATGCCTTTTCGCAGAGGACATGCTTGCCCGCGTTCAGGGCTAGCATGACATTCTGGAAGTGGTGGGAGTGCGGGGTTGCGACGTAGATGACATCGATCGCAGGGTCTGCGACTAGATCCTCGTAGTTGGAGTAGGCGGTGCAGGGGTCGGGGATTGAGAGGGCAGAGATGAATTGGGTTGCTTTGTCTTTGGAGGAGGACGAGGCGACGGCGACGATTTGGTGGGCAATGTCGGAGGCGTCGCGGGCTTTGGGGTCTTGGAGGAGATCGCGGACGAATGCTGGGAAAGTTGTTATTCTCAAGGTACTTGATTCTCAGAGTTGACCGTGTAGTCAAAGTGGAAGCATACTCTTGGCGATCCAGCCAGTGGCTATAGAATTGAATTAGTTGTTTGGGTTTGGAGTATGAAGGACGGATGACATACCCATGATCCCCCAACGAATAGTGTGTGCCATGATGAGAGACTGGTATTTGAAAGTTAAAGATGGATAGAAAGAAGAAAGAAAAAAAGTTCTTGTTTATAAGGACTAAAAACACAGGGTCCGTTCCGGAAACAAAACGGGGCTTTACGTATTCTGCAAGTTGGATGAGTTGAACGTTCTCTGGTGGAGAAGACCCCCACGGAGATGCGCCGAGCGGGGCACAAAAGTAACAGCAAGCAACAGAACGCAACGTCATGATGCTACACGATTTCAATTATTCACAGTGTGACTATTTTACATATTTCCTCATGCCTCCGTCTTGATGCGTGTCTTTCCACCGGGAGAATCAGTTCCTTCTGCCTTGCGCTTGCCCAGCACGGAGTCGGGTGTGCCAGTCCGTGCTTGCGGGGTTGAGCTGCGTGGTGCGGGACCATCCTTGGTAACTTCGGCATAACAGCTGGCATGATAGACACGGCTGCCGACCTTGATGGCATCTTGCCAGATCCAATCCTGCACGTCTTCCGACCAGGTTGACTCAAACTTCTCCTGGCAGATGGGGCAAGGGGTATTCCGGAGTGCGGCATCGTTGGGAGCCCGGATCCATGCCTGGGGTGGACCCTGTTTGGCGGCATTGCCCTCTGCACCAGCGCCCCCTTCGGTGGTGGCGTCCGTGTCAGCTACGGGCTGGTCATCGTCAACCTCGCGGGATTTGATCCAATCCTGTAAGAGCAAGTTAGACCTTTGTATAGCAAAGAGAAAATCATAGGAAATCACAGTGTTTGAGATGATACATACCCTTTCATCAACGTACCAGCTACGGGTCTGAGCACGTTTGGCAGCCTCCGACATGCGCTGGTTGGTCTTAAAGTGCCAATCCAAGTGTCGTGCTTTCTTCTCTTTACCCTCCTGAGTATTTGGGAAACGGCGTCCACACGTTCCACATCGATTAGACTTGGCTTCATAGAGAGAGGCCACAAGAGCGAATCGAGGACTAAACAAACAACAATTAGCAAGACGAAAGGAGAATTTTTGTGTGAACGATCTTACATTTTCATGGATGCGGTATTCATGGGAACTGTGGATGAGAGTGGCATCGACCCTGGCGGAGTGGGAGCGGGAGGTGTAGACCGCATTCCACCAGGCACGAGGAAAGGCAGCGCCTCTCCAGTCGAGGGCTGACCGGTAGACCCCATGACTGGAGGAGCCGATGCAGGAGGCAAAATACCACGGGATCGGAGAGCTGTAATCAGCGGGTTTTCGGGTTGCGGTGTGTTGCTGGCAGACGACATCTGTGGCATTTGAGGGATTGTGGGCATGATATTAGAGATAACCGGTGGAGGAGTGGGTTGCTGGCGGATAGCAGTATTCTTAATGAGTTCGGCAAGAGTTCTTGAATTTAAAAGATTTTGCAAGGGTTGGGATGCAGGTTGGGATGGAGGAGTAGGGACCGGAGCTGGAGGAGGGACTGGGGCAGCGGTAGCAGCAGGAGGAGGAGCACTTGGTGTAGGGGTCTGCACTGTCTGAGCCGGTCTGAAGGCAGAAAGTTGATCACGAACAAGCCGCAACTGATCTGGGGTGAGCTGCTGGTTTCGCATGATTGTCTGCAGGTCAAGAAGTGCCTTGAGACGTTGCTGTGACGTGGGATCAAAGGGAGCGGCGGCGAAGTCACTGCGTGCTGAGAGAATACAGGCCTCGAGATCTCGATTGAGAGCGTCTAGTTCAGAACCTGGACTGTGGCCTTGAGGTGGTGTCTAGAACCGATGTTGTTAGCGCGTCCAATTAAACACGTACAATGACACTAGAGGGAAAGTCTTACGGGTGTGCCATATCCATGGCCATTAGTGCCGTGTTGATTGTTGGTTGGTCGAGACATGCCCGGCGGCGTACCACGGCCACGATTGAGAATATCGCGATTGCCTCGAGCCTGTTCTTGCTGCAGAGCGGCCGTCCGTGCCTTGATGAGGGCGTTCTCAATACTGCGAGTAATTTCGGGCGCAAAGACCGGCCGAGTATCCAATGAACCCGGAACGGGCTCCTTCCAGGTCTTCAGCATCTCATCCAACTTGCGGCGAGTCTGAGCATCGACCAAAGTGTACGCGTTCATAAAGGTCGTATACATGTTCCGCCCCAGGAACAGCGTGTAAGGAGTTCCAACATTTTTGACGATAGAGTCGACTACATACAGTGCAGGTAGCTTCTGCTGTGGAGGTGTCTACATAGGCAGGTTAGAGAATCCAGTCTACGAGGACAATTGCAAGCGAGAAAAAAATGCAAAGGCGAAGGCATGACGCGAAAAAAGAGCACCTACTGATCGAATATGATTCTCCAATACACGGGAGATGGCCATGGCATGTTCGGTGTTCTCCTTGGCTATGACGGTCAAATTGCTGATCTGGAATCGGTCATTGCCCGTGAGATCCTCCAAGGAGCTCTTGTAGTCCTCGGCGACCTCATCGGAGACCAGTTTGGACATGGTGGTAGAATATGTTCACCGTCGAGGCGGTAGGGTTCAGCTAGAAGGGGAAGGCAGATAGGGAACGATCAAGTTGAAGCAAAAGTGTCTGAAGGTGTCAGTTGCAAGTAGCGCCCGGGAAAATGTATAGTCCGTGAAGTAGTCAACCACCACTGGTGCCTGGTATGTTCTTTTTGAATATGGCTTCAAGCGTTCTCAGACTTCCTTTTCCTTCTTGCAATACTGTCTTGCCCTTGCACTTGCTTTTGTCTTGTTTTTTTTTCTTAGGCCTTGTGCAATTCCTCCTCTTTCACAAAAAATATTGGGTTTGTAGCGTCTGATCCTGTACTGCTATCACAGGATTTGATTTTCTTTTTTCCTTTTCTTCTTAGTCTGCGTCCTCGGTCCCAGGGCCACCTGCTTGGACGATCAACACGAGATGGAGAGAAAAAAAACGAAGTCGAAACTTGTAAAATGCTTGCTAGCTATCTTTGCGAGACTTGAGACAACAACAAACGCGCCTGTCCTTCAATCCTGCAAGACCCTGCAACCCTGTGAACTGTGTCTGCTTTCCTTCACGCCAACGAGGATCCCGAGGGGGAATGGGAGAGGTTAGGAGTCCGAGGCGAATCCACACGATGCTGAAAGGAAAAGAAAGAAAGAGGCTGAATGGCAGACAATGCTGGTGAAACCAAAGAAGAAAAGGCAGAGGAAAAGTAGAGAGAAAAGCTGAGAGAGTTGAAGATGGACAGAGGTTGACGAAGGGATTGCTGGGCCGAAGTCCGCAATCCGCACTCCGCAGGTCACCTGACCCTCCAATGACGCAGACCCTCGGGCTCGTGTGTCTTGTCTCTCGTCGCCCGACAGTTAACCCACCTTCTGTCACAACCCCCAGATACTACTTTTTGTTATCACATTACATACCTTTATACTGACAAACTACAATGAAGTTCTTGTTTACTGCACTTCTGGCTCTCCTGCCCTTGGCGCTGGCTGCCAAGTCCCTCAAGTCCGTTATCATCACCTTCCCGAACGGTACACCTGACCGGGTGATTGACCAGGCCAAGGACTCTCTGGTAGCTGCGGTAGGCCTTGCATATTTGCATATCCATCCTGCATTATTTCAGCCTTGCTGACTGACTGATCTATCTAGGGCGGCGTAATCACCCATGAATACCGTAAGTTCTAGTACTCTCCCTTCCGTTTGATGCGACAACCGAGGCTGACCATTTCGCTCTATAGATCTCTTCCCGTATGATCATATCAATTGCTCGGAGAATACCTGATCATCAACTAACCATATGATCTAGTGGATTCGCAGCCGAAGCCCCCGTGAATGCTCTCCAAACCCTCTCGACCCAGGATGCCGCATACAAGCCCACTATCGAGGAGGACAAGATTGTCAGCGTGAACGGCGACTATGTCGGCCAGGAGCACACGTTCTAAAGTGGAGCAGCAACTATGATATTTAGCAGATTTTTGTGGATTTTGTCCTACTGCAGCTGGTTCTGAGGCATGTGTGACAACACGTCGGTCGGAGACCGGCCATCACGATGACGCAAATTAATGAGGCGCACACTATGGCTATCGGAGTACAGGGTATCAATAATTTGGAGGAATTGGACTTTTATGGGATTGGAGTTTCGGCCCCTGCGTTTTGACTGATTACCGTGACTTGGGCAAACTGATCCCGAGGGATCAAATGGGTGGTTGTTTTTACTTGGCTGGGATCTATTGTAGTATATGAAATGGGTCAATTATGCGAGTTTTGCTTATGATAGTTTTCTACACATGATTAGTACACGAATGCTCGAATCACTGTAACCTCCCCGGCAAGGTAAAATAGGCCAGTATACTTCGTACGTAAGGACGGGGACGATCATCCTCCCCACTAGTGACTCGCAGGGCCCCCGAAACGCGATCGCGTGGATCCGCAACTTCCCCCCCCCCAAGGCCACCTCTCCCTCCAGTTCCCCATAGTATTCATGTCCTGTGCGGTTTGGGGAATGCAGGATCTAAGCTCGTTCGCTCTTTCATTCCTTCTGTCATTCTATTGAACCACGATCATTCGCCATGGCCCAGGAACACACCGTGACCAAGGTTCTCTTGGAATGGATCAACAGCTTCTCCTTGGGCAAAACACTTCGAGGAACGGACGAATTGACCGACGGCATTATCCTATGGGAGATCCTCCAAGATATCGACCCGCAATACTTTCTCGACGAGATCCCTGAACGTAGCCCTGCCGACCATTGGGTCGCCAAGTGGCAGAACTTGAAGCACATTCACAAGCTCCTGCTCAGTTACATCCGACACCAGAATGATGATACCCTCCCCTCCGGTCTCGACCCGTCGCCCGATCTCGAAGCCGTCGCGGAGAAAGCATCGATCAAGGAAACGAACAAGTTGCTGAAATTGCTCCTGATCGCCGCGATCAGTTCCCCTAACGCCGGGACTTACGTACAGACCCTCCAATCACTCACGACTCCGACTCAGGAGGGACTCAAGGATATTATTGAGGAGGCGCATAATGGTCAACACGAACCTTTGGACGGAGTCGATGATCTCCCGGAAGAGTCCGCAAAGGCAGATCACCCCGTGGATTTGGAGCTGCAGTTCGAGGAACGCGTCGGAAAGGTGATCGCGGAGAACGATCGTCTGACACACGAGAAGAAGGAGCTTGAAAAGGCTTTGGAGGATCTGCACAATCGCCTGGCACGTCTTCAGGAAAACAACGATACACTGCAGAACCGTCTGGCGTCAACCGAGGATCGTTTGGTCACCTTGAAGTCTGGCAAGGGTGACCTAGGATTCAATGCCAAGGCGCTGGAGAGCAAGACGCGCCAACAGGACGATCTGATCGCGTCGCAAGAGGCCAAATTGAGTGCTGCCCAGGACGAGATCGACAGTCTTCGCATGACGGTGGAATCATTAAAGGTCAAGAATCAGCGTTACCAGAAACTACAGGACGACTATGATGAGCTACGCACCGAGAAAGAGCAATTGGCGCGGAAAGCAAACGCAGCAGAAAAGTATCGCCAAAAGCTTCAAGCCAGTCAGGACTTTGAAAAGGAGAATCAGACCCTCAAGAACCAGATCAAAGACATTCAGCAGCAGCTCAAGGAGTCGGATTCACAGCAACGATGGTCTTCCGAGCGTGAAGTCGAGCTGGAGGAGTACCGCAAGTTGCTGCCACGCATTGAGCAAGAGTGCAACGAGATTCAGAACCTCAAGAAGCAACTCGAGTTCAATAATCATGCGCTTACAGAGCGACTTCAGAGTGCCGATGAGCAGCACGAAAGAGACGACGCGTTGATTAGTGAGCTACGCGAACGCCTAGGAGAGTTGGATGGTCTTCCTGGTAGCCAGTCGCCGGGTTCTGAGACCCCCAAGATGCAAGGCACTTTGAATAAGGACTTTGAGGCTATTGGCATGAGGGAATCACAGCTGTACGTTTCTCCGAATTATTGGCGAGTTGGATTTTTTACTGACTTGAGCATAGAAAATCCGAGAACGAGGACTTGAAGCGAGAGATGGAATCTTTGAAAGCGCCATCGACCGCTGTACGTATCCCAAACGTTTGCCTGAGAAGAGTACAGCTGCTAATCTTGAGTAGCCCGAAGCACCCGAAATCTTCTCTGAAAACTTCAATACATCCGTGGAAGTTGCCCGTGCCAACTCCACTCAAAGGTAACTGCAAATATACTGCCTCGATGACCTCGGAAATACTAACTATCAAATAGCGACGAGTATTGGAAGCTATACGAGAATTATACTGGGGCATTGAAGAAGATTGCTGAAATTCAAGACACCCTGGAAACTACCAAGAAGGACCTCTCAGATGCCCAAACTCAGAGTAAGTCAGAACAGCTTTCCAACTCCCACACATGTCTGATCGCTAACCTCAATCACAGTCTCACTCTTTTCTACCGAAAAGCCCGATCTCCTCCGCGAACTTGAAGAGCATAACTCGGCCGAGCTGGCTAAGCTTCGTAGCGAGTGGGACAATCTCATCCAGAACGTACACCACCTGGAGGCCGAAGTCGACGCTAGCCAGACGCTGGTGCGCGAAGTATGCTCCGAGCGTGAAGAGTTACGCAAGATGCTGGACACCAAACAGAACGAGATCAGTGCCGAGGACCAGGAGGTGATGAACGAGATGCAAATGCTGTTGGGCGAATTCGAAATCGTGAACAGCGAGGGTGGCGAGGTGCCACAAAAGTCGAGCTTTGAGCTTCTGAAGCAGTGTGCTGGTGTCTTGGAGAAGAACATTGAGCGGCTTGCTCAGCGCGCAGAGGTAATTCCCAATCACAGATGCTATGGCCCCAAAGTACGCGTGCTAAAATTGTCTCCCTGTGCAGTATATTCAACAGCAAAATGAGCTTATCAAATCGCTCCGAGAGAGCATGAAGAACTATGAAGAGAATCTGGATGATGGAATTTCCAGAGAACGTGAAGTACGTCCTCCCCTTACACCTACTTGCTGTTTCTACATACTAACCGTCTTTACAGATGGAGCTCCAGAGAACTATTGACGACCAAGCCCGAGAGCTTAGCCTCGTGAGTTCAGCCTGGTACCACCTCCAGAGTCGATGGCAGAACAACAACATGACCATCTCACGATACCGACAAGGCGCAAATATGACCGATCCTCGTGGCTGGTTGGCCAAGCAGCGTAGTGTAGTTGCTGGTCAATAAGCCTACGTTGACGCCTTTCCTGGATTTGATATATCTTTCAACGGCGCCCCTCGTTTGTTCTTGTGGTTTTTCTTTCTTTTCGTTTATTACCCTTAGATCGAATCTCCCTTATATCCTTTGAATTGTATATTTTCAATTGCGTATAGAGTATGTGCCCTTTGACCGTTGATATTCCTGGCTTTTTTCTTCTTTGGACAGGCCGTGATTCCCTGTACACATGTGTTTGAATTCACTCTGTGATTTTTGTGTTCACTATATACATTATGCCTTGAGGATTCGAGGTTGCAAAGCACCACTTTTGATTCAAGACCAACCATTTGATTTTTTCCATTTCTGGAATTATGACTGCATCAATTATCTTTATATCAAAGACAGGTGATTACAAGTTCGATATGAAAGGAAGCCGGAAGCTGCAGCATTTCGGCAAATATTATTTTTGAGTAATATACATAAGAGACCTCGATCTTCCCAATCATGAGACAAGGATACAATATATAGGAATTCTTCAGATCAAGAAAGAAGAGATCAAAGCAGGACATGCAACAAATCAACCCTCAACGAATGGCGCCCATGATCAAGCCCACTGCCGAGGGTGCTTCAGCACATCGATAATCTCTTTCTCACTAGTCTTGTCTTCAGCAAGATCATCCTCATCAACCAGCATACTCTCGGTACGAGTACCCGAAACGGGATCCATATAAGCCCAGCTAGCCGTGCGGGGCAGACTCATCAAAATACTCTCCACGCGAGCATTAGGAGTCCGCAGGCCGAAGCTAGTACCTCGGTCGTAAACGAGGTTAAACTCGACATACCGACCACGGCGCAGCTGTTGCCACTGCTTCTGCTCCGGGGTGTATGACATGTCCTTGCGCTTCTCGATGATAGGCACGTAGGAGGGGAGGAAAGAAGCCAGACCATCCGAGACGAAGGAGAACAGGGTCTCTTGAGGGTTCGACGAAGAACCGGCGGACGTTTGGAGGAAATTGGCATCTAGATCGTCGAAGAAGATACCGCCGACGCCGCGGCATTCGCCGCGGTGGGGGAGATAGAAGTACTTGTCGCACCAGGCCTTGAACTTGGGGTAATAAGTGGGATCGTGGCGGTCACAGGTGTCCTTGATGGTCTTGTGGAAGTGCTGAGCATCCTCGGGGAAAAGGTAAGACGGGGTTAAATCCGTACCACCACCGAACCACCAGTTCTTATCACCATTGATAGGATCCTTTGGATCCGAGGTCTCGAAGTATCGGTAGTTCAGATGCACAGTCGGAGCCATGGGGTTATGCGGGTGCAGCACGAGCGAGAGACCCGCGGCAAAGAAGCTTAGAGAATCGACGTCCGCACCGACAAAGGACTTGTGGTCTGCGCGCATCTTTTCAATAGCCGGCCGAGGCAATTCGCCGTACACGACGGAGACGTTGACGCCGGCCTTTTCGAAGACGTTTCCGTCTTGCAGGACGCATGAAATGCCGCCGCCGCCGTTGGGTCGGGTCCAGGTATCTTGCTTAAACTCCTTGCCGTCTATCCTAGCCAATTCTGCGATGATCTTCTGCTGTTGCTCCTTGATGAGCTTTTCCATTCGCAGGCGCATGGGGGAGGACTCGGTGATTTGGGAGGATTGCTTCAGAGCTGCGTCTAGCTCGGCGATGGATGGGGCGTCAAGGTCGGTGACTTCTCCGGTGGCCTAGAGTAGACTTTTAGCATATATGACCATGGACAATTGGTCTCACGTGGGTTGTAGTGCCTACCATAGAATAGATAATCATACCAATGAACGGCACGCCGACTGCGAGACGCAGGTAGGGTCTCCACACGGTGAATTGCTGCTTCCCACGAGACGAGTTCTCAGTGTTATATCCACGGACAGAGTAGCCTGCATTTCGACCAGCTGCGCGAGCAGTTCGGGACGAGAGCTGAGCGAATGACCTCCGCAGAGGCATAAATGATCGCGAAGCCATATTCGGCAAGGTGGTAGGATGCGCGCACGACCAGGACGGGAAGTAGAGGATCAATTGAGTAGGCCGTCACAATTTCAGTGCAATACCTCCGGGCGGAATACTTGTTAGCAGATAAATGGACGCCCGATGGTTCCCCGAGGAAAGTCGTTCGCGATCATGGAATCCGGTGGCACGACGAGCATCAGGCAATCCGAGGGTCTGTTTGCACTGTTTGCTGCGCGGATGAGCCGCGGCATTTTGGGCGCTGTGATTGGCTGGTTCTGCTCTATACGCTGGATGGAGCGATGGACTCGTCTGTTTTTACGCCTGACTGATAAAGATGGGAGATGCCACTATAGAAGTTCTAATACAAAATAGAGATGGTTAGGATAATTGAAAATTGAGAATTCAAATATTTGGCTATGCAAATGCGATCCTCATTCGAGGACTGTGCTAATGCGCTAAGAGTTGACTTTTTGCGGAAACAAGAATAGAGGCATGCTGATGATATCAGATCTATGGGAATCGACTAGCGATCCTTGTATGATGGAAATGCCGATGAAATGCAAGAGAAGGATGGTCGTTTGCTTTCCTTTCTCAATTCTCGCCGGGCGGATCATCGCGGTCCTCTATTTTCCTCGTCCGAGGAAGGAAAGAAAGACCGGATGAACTCTTCGCTGAGAGGGTCATAGGGGAAATAAGAATCTTCAGTGATTTCACCCGGGCCTGAAAGTGGCCACATCAGATCGGGAGTGGGGAGGTTGAAGTAATTCGTCCAGACATCGCCGCCGTCTTGTACCGGGGTGGGACGGTGTAAGAAGGGACTGATTTCTTCCGGGCGATGCGTGAAATAATCGTGGGAGGAGTGTCCTCCATGGTGGAAGGAGGAGGAAGAAGAAGGCATATTATGCTCGTTGGCGAAACGCTCTTGCGGTCGTGGATGTGATGGGAGATCGTTGGTGGTGTATTTCATGCCGCTGGCCAGTTTCCGGAAACTGGAGTCGCACAGTTGCCAGGCCCGTCGGGAACCGATGCTGCGATCGGACATGGCGTGGAACCAGCGTATTGACTTTTTCGCTAATCCCACGAACCGCTCTTCGTCCTCTGGTATATGGACGCTGCCGAAGGACAGCTCGAGAAGGATGACCGTTGTCGCCTGCATGAGATAGCGGAGCACACACCACCAAGGACAGATTTGGAAGAGTTGGAGGACGTCTGGTTCGTCGGGAAGCAGACCAAGTAAGCGTGAAGCCGAGTCGAGGGTGATCAGAGCCATCATATGGCTGAAAGTTTGTTGGGAGTTTTGCTGACGTGCATCGCGTCGGCAAAGGCAAGGTCGGCCAAGAGTAATCCGCGCGCTATAGTAATGAAATGCCAAGATCAATTTGCAGCGAAGTTGATCTGGGGTATCATCGGCCTCATCCTTGGTAAAGTCAATCACGGGTGGAAGGCTTGACTGCCAGGCGTCGATACGAGCCCGGAGTTCATCGAGTCGGGTCTCAATCTCTGACCATGTCAGCGTGACACAGTTGGTCGAGTAGACCTTGTTAACAATCTCTTGAGTGATGATTGTCAAATCACAATGAAAGAGATAGCAAAGTCCAAAATTAGGCGGAAGTTTTTTAAGCCACGATTGGTCTCGAGGTCTAGACTTTTGGGGATCTTCACGGCCGCCCGCTTGTCGGATCACCCTACTCGACATGATGTTGTTGATCAGCTCATCTCTCAAAGAGGGGCTATTCAGCATTTCGATGGCCGTGGGGTCTTCTTGTAATTGTTCTTCTTCGAAGGGAAGGGGTAGGGGTGTTGCGTATCCGCCGTCGAGAGTATAGATGGCTCGGCCGGTCATGATACCTAGCATGTGTTCGAAGGAATAGAGACACCACCAGACTCGGTACCGAGCTTCCTTGGAGATGTTGGGGGTCACGGAGCTGTTGTTCTTCAGGTTGATTCCGAGGGTGATGGCAGATCGAACCGCCAGAGCAGAGATTCTCCATGCCCTTTGCGTCATTAGAGGTTGTTTGTGGCATAAACAGTGAACGAGAGTTAGTAATACACACCTATTGATTTGATCCGATGCAAGCAGGTAGAATGCAATCAAGCTCTCGACCTGAACTTGCTGAAGGTCCGGATGACTGAACAGAACCTCGGAATTGAGACTGAGTAATCGAGCCCGGGTCATATATACCAAATGATCATCGCAAACCCCTCGCCACGGAGCATTGATGAGGTGAGCATGCTTGGCCGCAATGGCAAAGATGATATTCAAAATGGCAAGCCACTTATCACCCGGTCGGGGAGCATTGGGCCTAGCGAAGCTGTCGAAAAAGGTCTGGTATTGAGCGCGGAAGAGCGGTTTGCTGATGATAGGGAAGAAAGGGTGTACCGTGTCCAGATAGTCGTTGAAAAGCCGATCGGCTAGATGTCGAGGGGGCATGTCGTATCGTTCCACCGGTTCGGCGACGGAGATGTCTAGGTCGTCCAGATGATAGTTGAGTGCATGAAGCGAGAATCCGTCTCGTGCGTCTTCGTTCTTATCCTGATTAGATTCCATAATTCCAGCATACCCTTGAGCCCGTTGCTCGGCTTCTCTTTGAACACGTTGCATCCAAGAGATTTCCGAGCTTTTACCCATAAAACCCGTGGCTCGCGTATGCTCTGTCCGATTGAGATCCTCCTCTACTCGATCAATAGCTTCTAGCGAGCCAAGAGATGAGAGAGGTGACCGCTCATCGGCGTCCATCTCATTCTGCGGCGTCGACAGACGAGATTGAGTATTGTCGAAGTAATGATCTCCTTTCAACCCATGCTTTTGGAGAGAGAGACACGCATTCAACGGTTAGTAACATAACCCACGGACGAGGAACCGTATACGGAAAGCTCACACACCTTGTCCAGCAAGCTTTTAATCCATTCGGCCGTTCGAGGCTCGGTGGTACTGCGTAGGGCAATGACGAAGTTTTCATAGTCTTGAATCTCAGCATTGAGCTTGTCCACATCCCTGTTTTAGTGAGGATTCACCCCCCTCATTAGTTAATCGATTGCAGCTCTTTTGTTTATAGTTTTTTTGCCAACCACGAGGATAGCGGATTGATTCGATTTCGCCCACTTTTTCATCTTTTCTCTCCAACCCACGGGGTAATGACAGTTGATTCTCAGCTCACGACATTGTCGACATATCGGGGTATCGCCGCTGCATTTCGTTTTCCGCTGTCTACACGACTCACAGGCCCGCGGGACCCGTCGATTGTAGCGGGGTGCATGATTATTTGGTGGTTGGCGAGGAATCGCCACTTTAGCATTGGACGCATTTTGCACATTCTGCGAGGATCCTAGAGCGGGCGTGGAGTTGGAAGTTCTCGATGCTCCCCACGTCGACGGTCTATCCTGAATCGAAGTCCGATTCGGCGTTGCAGGGGCACTATGCGGCTCTGGCAGCGCCGTCGATTCTTCATTTTGCCCGGACACACCTTCCCCTGGTGATTTCGATGGTTGTTTTCCTGATCGTTTGCCGGTCATGGACGCAGTCTGTAAGTGAGGCTATAGCAAAAAATTACGCGACTACGAGGGTGGTTGAGCATCGTCGCGATTAATTGCCAGTGCGACACTTTTGCTTCGGTTTGAGATGCCGCCAATGAACGGGCGGGATTTGTAGATGCGCTGACCGGTGGGGATTCGAGCCCTAAATACAAACCACCACCACATAACTTCTTGGTAGGAGGGCGGAAAAGGAGGGGGGGAGGGGGAAGAATACGGGTAGCTCATACGAGCTTCTTTTCCTTCTCTATGAGATCAAATAATTTGACAATCAATCTTGAAGAATAAACTGTGTACAGTACTCTTCAGGTAAGAAGCCTCTGTCAAACCTCTTTCTTTCTCCCTCCCCTCGGTCAAGGGGAGAAGATGGGCGAGACAAAGGAACGAGTTAGACCGAGCACTCAGCTCCGAGGCATTTACAAGAAGCAAGGGAGGAGGTCAATTCTAGATTTCCAAGGCCTGGTCGTTTTTGGAGGGGGGAGCCCTTATTACTCATGTGCAAGCCTTCTCGAAGGACCTCTGTCAGTCGACCACTTCCCTATTATTGACTGGCCCTTGGCTCGGATCCACTTTTCGTGCCGCTTGGGATCCCGATGAACCGAGATTTGGCATGTTATTGGCAACCTAGGGATGCTAGCAGTGAGTCGCTATTTCGGTCGGTACCTTTGTATAGACCTGCATAACGTGCACGACACCTATATCTTTTCAAGATCCTGAGTGGATCGAACCGTCGGATTGACCCTACATATCCCCTGGGCGGAAGCTTCGGATTTGTCAAGAAAAGGCGAGGCCACGCAAAACTCGTCAGCACCCCGACGGGAGCAGCCGTAGTCTGAGCTTTGTGATTGGTGGGTTGCCAGCCCAAGACGAACCGGATTTTCGGCTTCTAATTGGCGGGTCGCTCGGGAGTAGATCATATATCAAGTGCTCGTCGACGAGAAAAAGTTTTCTCTTATTGGAACCCACTTAGTCCACTTCACGGATCTGATCGGCAGGGGAAAGAATAAGGGCTTGAACTCGGTGCTTTAGCGAAGCGGACGGTGGAAACCGAGCGAAGTTTCACGAATATTCGTGAGCAGATTGTAACAGGAAAAGATTCCGGCAGGCCGAGAGAGTGGGGAGCTGTTGAGATCACACAAGAATTGACAACTAATGTACAAGATGTAACGTGCTACATCCTAGCCAGGAGTTAAGTGTTAAATCCGCATTCAGCGAAGAAAAGATACAGCCTAGTATTAGCTATCTTTCTTCGGGCCCAAAATGACCTTTTATTAGTCAGAGTCAGGGGCATCTGGGGCCCCGAAGTAAAGAAATTGCGGGGAAGAATTTGATGACCTCATGTGCAGGATGGTAAGAAAGTTAAGAAGAAACATTCAGCCATCACTGAAGGAACTGAAGGCAATGAATCTTGAATAGTAACGAAGTTCCACTTTCACGTTTATTAGGACAATTATCTGGTCCAAAGATATATTCATCGGTCTTGTTAGTCTATCGATATGTGATCTAGCACCATATAACTAAATAACTTAAATTTACCATGCAGCTATGCCTTGACTCATTGCCCATTGTGGTCCATTTCATCAAAGCCTATTTCTATGCCAGCAAAGGCTGGAATAAAGCGCTATTAAAAATCGAATACGTTACCGTTCATCAAATGCGAGGCATACTTGAAACTCACCGTAGCGTTGACCTTGAGTGGACGGAGATTAACGATAGATTTTGACAAGAGCGATCGTTTCCATTGTCATCCTACAGAGTATTACTTTTTGAAGTAAGCTTTTTGATTCTATTCTTTCTCTCTGTGCTCCAGGGCCGAAAGTAGACTCGGGATGCTAAGAGTGAATTCCACCAGGACGATATAATAGACCTTGCCAGAAGATGTACGCTACCAGCGAGAGTATTTCGGTGCCAGAATACTTATCGATGCAATTAAAACGTGATTCACTTGAAGTCCCGAGGGGGGACCGGGCAATCTTCCCTACCCCGACGTTGAGATGGGATGAGGCAGGCAGCTTTGGCCGTAATCCAGATTATGTTTAGCTTCTGCGATGGTATTCTTCATGATGATTTCTCATAACTCATATTTAAGACAGTTGCACTTGAAATAATCTGCTGAAGAGAGGGAAACTCATTACTAATTGAAGATTCCAAGAGTGAGGGGAGTGTGAGGTACATAACGGGCACTCTGAAGACGCTAAACCAGTTTCGGCAGACTAGATATATAGCCAAGGACTATTGTCGGGGCCTAGAGCTATTAATCACCAGGTGTTCAATACGTCTGATCCGATATCTCATTTCCGACCGGTACATTCCGCTAAAAGTGTACTCCGAGTCCTTTTCGCGCATTAGCAGTGTCCAGTCATGTCGGCCAGGTAGCGGTGGGGTATCTTGAGGCAGAACAAAATCGATCGAGCACTTCAACTCAACGACACTTGAATTGTATGTCGTTGTAGAAGAGAGCGAACAAGACTTTCTCCACCATGAAGAAGGGTACTCGCAAGATCTATGTAAACTATAAGTGCAAACAAGTAGCACACCCACCGGCGAGTGACCTAGTCCACGTGAGGCCGGCCCGTGACTCACCGCCTCGTGTGATGGTATCTTTACGGTAACGTCAGCGGGGGTTGCCTTTTGTCATCGTCTCCCCCCTCTCTTCACTTCCTTCACTCATCCATCGATCATCGGTCGTCCTCGCCAGAATCCCGAACCTCATCTAGCGACAGCTACTTTCCACCTCCCCTCCTGCTGCTGAACCCTTCCTCCTTTTCCAACCACCATCCCGAGCTCTCCTCATCTCGCTCCACACCCAGAGACCCGCTTTACTTATCAGCTTATCAAGCTACCACCATGCGTTCCAAGTTCAAGGACGAGCACCCCTTCGAGAAGCGTAAGGCTGAGGCCGAGCGTATTCGCCAGAAATACGCCGACCGGATCCCAGTAAGTGTCAACCCGTTATGATGATGGCTTCGAGTTGCTTGCGCGACTGGTGTCGTCGAGCTTCCCCTAGAGCCTCATCCACCGCCTTATCGTTCCCCTCACCGCTCCTTCCGGTAGCTAACGGGTTCCGTGTATTACAGGTCATCTGCGAAAAGGTCGAAAAGTCGGATATTGCTACCATCGACAAGAAGAAGTACCTCGTTCCAGCCGACCTCACCGTCGGTCAGTTCGTCTACGTGATCCGCAAGCGCATCAAGCTCTCCCCGGAGAAGGCTATCTTCATCTTCGTCGATGAGGTCCTGCCACCCACCGCTGCACTCATGAGCAGCATCTACGAAGAACACAAGGACGAGGACGGTTTCTTGTACATCACGTATGTCCATTTCCACCACTCCCGTCGTCTTGAATTGCAGAGATTCCATTTACGGGTGAGAATACCGTGCTAACGACGTGACTTTTAGATACTCCGGCGAGAATACCTTTGGCGACTGTTAAAGGCCCGACGCGACTCTTTTGCTCCCCTTACAACCTGGCTCTCTGACTCTCCCGTCTTGACTTCGCGATGGGTGCACCATTTCCGAAGAGTCTAAGTGGTATTGGCGACCGAGGATAATTCTGGCGGGACGTCCTTTTCTTGCGTTTTTCGGTCATGCGGCGTTTGTTCGGTGTTACGCACATCTTCTGCTTCATCTTTGCTAGGCTGGGTTTGCCTGCTGGCTTTTCTTCTACATGGAAGTAAATGGAAATCGAGGGCTAGTCTCTTTCAAGCTCGCAATTTACGTCTGTTTTTGATTAGGTTCTGCTCCTTTTTAGGCTCAACTAAGCGTAAGTCTTTCTAGTCCTTGTAATCAAAAGTAATAGTTTTTTTAAACTCCCATTTACTACCCTCTAGAGAGCTCCCCAGTCTCGGCCCGAATACACCAAATGGCCCCCACTGTAACAAAAGGTGTCACTAGCATTTCGGCCCCGAAAGCACTCGGGAGATTGACGGAGTATACTATATAAACATAGCCATTCGACCCCTCCGAGACATGCTGACAATTGGTGATTATTTTCTTCATAGTCCCTCGGGTCTCATGTTGCATTGCGTTGAATTACGGGCGCCCATCTTAACAGCTCATAGTTATCACCAATCTATACACCATGAGTCTCTCCAACTTGACCAAGAAGACCCTCACAGTCTCCCGCGGCTTCACGTACACCTACCACGTTTCCCCCGCCCGCAATCTCAAGCCATCAATCATCCTCTTCCACGGCTGGCCCGACTCAGCCCAGCTCTGGTCCGGCCTGATCAACCACTACCTTCTGCCACAGGGCTATGGTATAATTGCCCCAGATTGTCTCGGCTACGGGGGTACTTCCAAGCCCACCGACCCGGAATCATACTCCTGGAAGGACCTAGCAGCCGACGCCATCGAAATCCTCAATGCAGAGCACCTATCCTCTGTGATCGCCGCGGGTCACGACTGGGGCAGCAGTCTATCCCAAAGACTGTACAATTTCCACCCGTCTCGTGTATCGGGCGTGATTACAATCAATGTGGCCTACATGCCTCCGATCGGACACTTCAGCCTAGACGCCATGAACGAAATGACCCGCCAACAATACGGCTACGGTATCCTGGAATACTGGTACTTTTTCACGACCGAGGAAGGTGTTCAGACTATGAACCAGAATCTCGAGTCCGTGTATTGCATGGCATACGGCCATCCACGCACCTGGCTCGAGACGATGACTGCGCCGGGCGGGGCTCGCAAGTTCGTTAGTGAGGGGCGCACTCAGCCGACGCTACCTTTTGCGACGGCCGAGCATAAGGAGGATTTTATGGGTCGACTTGGGCAGGATGGAGGATTTGCGGCTCCGAATTGTTGGTATCGGGCGTATGCGTTCGGTGTGCAGGATGAGGCGGATGACCAGGTACCTGATGAGAATAAGGTTATTAGAGTGCCGGTGCTGTATTGGGGTGGAGATGGGGACGTTGTGGGTAGGCCTGATAGACTACAACCGCCTATTGATGCCGAACTGTTGCCAGATGTGAAGAGTATTATTCGGGAAGGGGGTCATTGGGCATTGCTTGAACGGCCGGATGAATTTGGGGAGGATATTGTGACATGGCTACAGGAGAGATTTGCTTAAACGGGTGGATGTGTTATTTGGATAGGCTTGGTCATTGTGGAGTAGGTCATTGACAAGGCATTTCAAGTATAAAAAGAATATGATCTGGCCAGAGAGCCAGTCTGGGTTCCACGAGAGGAGTCGGGCAACAACGAATAACTTCTAGACATTAGTAACAAAGTCGCTTTCTCAGAAGCTGGCTCATGACAACTGTATTAAATAGAGTCGAGTCAACGAAGCCCGGAAGACTGCGCCTCCGGGATCATCGTCTCGTGCCGCCCAGACGGCGTTTCTTCACTATCAACTCTAGTTTCACGCTTCGGAAGATCATAGCTCGGATCAGCCAATCGCTTCTTGCGGCCAACGAATAACCACCGAAGACCTCTTGCGGTAGCCTTGACCAGATCCCATGGGTTCATTGCATCAACCAGAGCCTTGAACCCCATCTTTCCACCATGGTAGTACTGCGAACTATCTTCGACCGCAGGACCCTTTGCAATCACGTATGGGCGCCAGGGGAAACCCCAGAAGTGAAGAAGGCTAAAGAGGCACATTTCGATGGAAATGAGCACATATGGAAGCGCATTATTCCAGTCTTGAAGAACGACCTTGGCGGATGATTTGATCAGGCCGGACGAGGTTAAAAAGTCGATGATGGTCTATTGATAATGTTAAATTGATGAAACGTCACGGGGGGAAGCTGTCGGCGGTGCTTACCGATTGCCAGAAGGAAAGGAAGATGACTAGCTTGATGCAAAGGATCTTGATAAAGGGCCGATGCTGGGCGATGTCGGCCTTGGTCTGGAGATAGAATTGAATCAAGCAATACATTGCAATGGTGACTGCGATAGATTCAATAATGAGGACCTGTCAAGAATTGCGGTTAGGGGGTCTGCGTTGCCAACAAGCCTCAAGTTCCAGCCAGCTTACCCAAATATGAGCAAATGCTACGTTATCAGAGTCTTCACAGTACAGATTCTTAGATTCAGCCGCAACGGCGAGAATGGTCAAAATCAATCGTAGAAAGCAGTATTGGAAAACGCCGATCCAAATGACCTTGCAAAATCGTTAGCTCGTGTGTCCTCGGGACTCGATACTCGAGAGTTCAACAGGTGGGCCACATACATTGAACCAAGTAAGCCCACTTCGTGGCTTTCTCCAAAGGCCGTTTTGACCACCGGTACATTTCTGCAGCCATGGAATAGGCCAGACCCAATTGATAGGCTCTACTTGCCGGAAAAACTCCTTTTGATCATGAAGTTCGGGAGCAATATAAGAGCAAAGCAAGGTGAAGAAAGACGCAATGGCAAATGGCTCATAACAGTAGCCGATAAGCTCGAAGTACACAGTCCACTTGTAAAAGTAGATGCACAAGAATGACGTGAGCGTATAAATGGGTATCATAAACAGAATGCGAATGATGCTGTGCGAATCGTTAGCTCGACCGGGGGCACTCGACCGCCGCATTCCGAACGTCTCACTACAGTACTTACTATCTCTGTTCAGATGGTCTGCTGTAGTGTAAAGCATGGCCCAAAATAATAGTTCCCGCAAGAAAGCAAGATATAACGAGACAAACAGCCGAAATAATCACACACAGAGTGTGGAAAGTGATTCCGCCATCCCAAAGGTCAACTTCCTGGACTTAAAGGGGGGGGGGGGTCAGCACCATCGAGCGGGAAGACAGCCTTCTACGTTCGTTCACCTACTCGTTTCATGCTCCAGTGTGGAATTGCATGATGGCCAAGTCATGGTGTTGTTGGAGAGACACTGGCACTGGGATGCTTGTTTAGCGATCGACGGAAACTGACTCTCGTTCGGTCACCCCCTGAAATCTCAGATTTAACTACAGCCCCCCGGAGCCAGTGACGTATGGACAGATCAGATCGTGAGAAAAAAATTCATGGCCTTCTCCTTTTCCGTTATAGGGGCCACATGGTGATCCCAATCATTATCATAGAAAGGCTTGTTTAGTGCGTTGGTGTGGGTCGCCGCGTAAGCCCCATGGTGGGCCCCGTGAATGATCTGATCTGCGACAAGATTTGTAGATAAAGTACTCCGTATTTTAGTGAACATGATGCTAGTTACGTAGCTTTTAGAATATAGAAAGCAGCTCAAGCTAGGCAACTTAAATGTATTGTCTTTTCAGCCATTCAAAGAGTGGTCCAATGTCGTAATGACAATCACCAGTCGATGGGTTAGGTACGATCGAATTATGTTGCGCTGTACACCTATTCAAGCATATAATTGATGGATATTGATCTTGTGATAAAATTTTAAGAAAACTCTAGTAGGCTCCGGAAATCAATTAAAAAGACTTCGGCTCAAGTGTATAGTATAAACCCATTGTACAATCAGTGCGAAACATGCCCTACAGCACGCTACACGTATTGAGACTCGCTGCTTTGTTGGTACAGGGCTGAGCTATGCTTTCAGATGGATCAGATATGACGTATATCAGAAATTTTAACGTAGGAAAAGAATCCTGACAGTTCTCAAGGTCGTGTCTCCGTCGAACTCGCCTGGTGCTTCGTAGTAAGACCTTCATTTTTAACTGATAACAGACTAGGTTAACAATTTGGAGGAGCTCCGAATGGCATCCAGGCATGCTATCTAGCGGTTACGAGCAAAACATCGGATACTTTGACATGACTTCTTTAGGAGAGTGAGGGCCACCGAAAGACGCAAGAGGGTATTTGGAGCAAAGAGAAGGCCGCAGTGTAGAGTGCAGTTAAATAGGCCACATGTCTTATGCCGGAAGTCCTACAAAGGTCTCAAAATTGCATCAGAATTGGATAACTATACTGCGTCGAACTCCATAATCATTGTTGGATAAACATCAATACACGAAAGGACCAGAATGGAAAGCAGAGGAAATAGGCTTCATCGTGTTCCAGAACCTAGGCAGGCCATATAACAGACATCTTCCCCTCCAAAAAGGTCTCTATCGTCAAAAGAAATGAAAGAACATAATTAAAACATCAAGTGTGAGCCAACAAAAGAACGGTCGCTCAGAATATGATCATCATAACTGTTCATCAGTTACATCAACTATTTGCCGTTGGAAGGTAGAATACCCTTGCCACCAGGAATATTCCCTATTGTCATATTCTGAACAGACTCGGCACCTCGAGCCAGGCCTGATCCTGCACTACTGGCACCTTCTTTGCCTTTATCGAATAGACCGGCAGCACCTCCCATGTACGAACCAGATTCGTCCTTGCCGTTTCTCTCGGCCCGATTAACACCCTCCCTGGAGGCGAATTGTCCTACTGGTTTCAACAGTCCCTTGTCACCAATCTGATTTCCGACAAGGTTGGCTGTATCGTCTTGAATCTGGTCAACTTGGTCGATGCCCGTGACCTTTGTCTTGGAGAGAGTATCTAAGCGAATAGTCTTAGCTTCTGCTTGAATAGTGGGAACTGTACTCGAATATTCACCTTTCGTCGCATAAGAAGCCTTGTTATCACCCTTTCCAAACCACTTTAGGTATTGATCTTCAATCCAGGGCATCCATTTCTCGTATTGATCATTATAGGCGCCCTTAGCCCACTCCGAATAGGTTTGTTTCTGCTGATTTTGAGGATATCCATTCTCCGGGATGGAGGTCATGTTATTAGAAGAGCTCATGATGAGACTTTCAGAGATGAATAGCAGTAGATTTCGTCGTAGACTTGACCGATTCAAAGGACCTGATGCGTGTGTTGACATCTTAATATATTGATCTGGTGCGGTTTATGACGTCGGTGGCTCGGTGACATGGGTGTCAATCCAGGTGATTTAATAGACAACCACCATGACATAGTATCACTTGTCCGAGCACAGATATTAATATGGAATATTCAGCCGTTCTAGGTCATTGGTAGGTGCTCTACCAGTAGTGCCGTTGTTCAGGGCAATCGAGTCGATACAGTGAAAGTCATAATTCTGCCTCAGGCATGCAGTCAGCACAGATGAGCCTTGGAGGAAATAAAGGGTAACAAAGAAGATATCCGCAGGAAAGTTTATCATTCTCTTCGACCTCAAGATCAGTATTTCACGCGCTCCGTGGCGTCATGGCTGGAACTGGCGAGCCTGACACGCATAATCCGTGGAAGAGTGTACGCAACCCACGGTAGGTCTGGCGCGGGGGTTCTTCCTTTTTATGCCTGCGCAACTTATAGTCCCCCCCCTTCATATCCCTATGAAGATTTGTATGGTATTATTGCTATAACATCATGATCAACTTGCTTAGAATTACATATTTGTTAACTTAAATTCACATTTTAGGATATTGGTGGTTGGATAAGTGGTGGGTTTGTTGGGTGTGAGCATTGGGATGAGGTTGCTGGGTATCGCCGGTCAAGGCTGTGTGGTAGATAGAGGTCGAAGGTTCGATTCATATTGGCGAAGATTCTTTTCCTGAATTATTTTGCTAAACAGTGATAAATGACTACAGTATATGGTAGGATGTGTATGGTCAAAATATAACCATTTACAAAATAGTAGTGTGCAGAAACAAGAGGTGAACTGACTTCCATCGGTGTTCAAAGGTCCGGGTATGCCTCTAGGGAGAATCTACCGGTCTTCTTTACCCTTCCAAAACACATTCTTACACAATTAGCAAGATAGTACGAGAGAGTCAGCTGTATTCAGTATAGGATCCAACTTTGTGTTGCCTTTTATAGGGCTCCAAAAGTGTAAAAGTATATGGGCCCATCAAAGTTTAGTTCGACCCGAAGAGCTCCTCCGACTCCGGCTCCCAATTGGGACTAGCGGCCCACCCGAATCGCTCCGATAAAATTTACAGGCACATGTTTCCTCGTTCCTGGGGGATCCTCTTGGTCGTTCGGTCTCTGGTCTCTTCTCTCACTCTCAACCCTTCAAAAAGCCTCAAAATGTCTCCTGCTATCGCCCATGCCGGTGCTGGCGCCGCCTCCAAGGATGTCAAGCGGGAGTCCGCGACTGCTCGTCTGCTCGGTTCCGGTAAGAAACAAAACATGACTCTTAAAAGACGGTGGACACACGCGAGAACCAATTGCTAACGATGTGACTTGCTAGGCTCTGCTGGTATCGCCGAGTTGATGGTCTTCCACCCCGTACGGTCTAATTGATATCGGAACATTGTCGTATTGCAACACTGACCCCCCTTTGCAGGTCGATACCACGGCGAAGCGGTTGATGAGCAACCAGACCCGGGTAAGCATGCACCGGAATGCGAATGCGAGCCCGTGAACAGTTTCTGATCAATATTGCATTAGATTACCTCCGCGGCGGAGTTCAAAAAGGTTGTTTTCAAGGAGTACGCCGATGCCACCGTCGGCCGCAAGTTCACCTCCCTGTTCCCCGGTCTCGGATACGCCGCTGGTTACAAGGTTAGTGATGAGACTTTTCTCTCCTGTGGGAAGGCGTACATTTAGCTGACTGTGTCATAAATAGGTCCTCCAGCGTATCTACAAGTACGGTGGTCAGCCCTTCGCCCGCGACTACCTCGCCCAGCACCACGGTGCTGCTTTCGATAATGCTTTCGGAAAGGGAACTGGCAAGGCCATCATGCACGCAACTGCTGGCAGGTGAGACAACCCTTTGGACGGACTCTACAGATATACGAGTCTGAAGCTGACGATATGCGCTAGTTTGATCGGCATTGGAGAGATCGTCCTCCTCCCTCTGGACGTCCTGAAGATTAAGCGTCAGACTAACCCCGAGGCCTTCCGTGGCCGTGGTCTGTTCAAGATTATCTCGGATGAGGGTATGGGTCTGTACCGTGGTGCCGGTTGGACTGCTGCCCGTAACGCCCCCGGTTCCTTCGCTGTGAGTCATCGTTCCTTGATATTACGCCCAATGCTCAAACACACAAACTGATGACCTACCTTCCTACTTTAGCTCTTCGGTGGCTCTGCTTTCGCCAAGGAATACATCTACTCCCTCACGGACTACAACGCCGCTTCTTGGTCTCAGAACTTCGTTGCCTCCGTGTGCGGTGCTAGCGCCTCGCTCATCGTCTCCGCTCCCCTGGACGTGATCAAGACCCGTATCCAGAACCGCAACTTCGAGAACCCCGAGTCCGGCTTCCGGATCGTCTCCAACATGATGAAGCACGAGGGATTCCCCTCCTTCTTCAAGGGCCTGACCCCCAAGCTCCTGATGACCGGTCCCAAGCTGGTCTTCAGCTTCTGGCTCGCCCAGACTCTGATCCCTGCCTTTGGCCAGGTTGTATAGATGGGAAACAGATAAAAAACGGGCCAAGATACCTTCACGAGTTCTTTATAGCCGCGGCGTTCTTCGACACTCTCCTCCTTTACCCCCTTACTTTTTCTAGCCCTTTTCTTTCCCTTTTCCAGCGTCTTTGTACTTGGTATGGGCCTTTACCATCATGGCCCAGCCTGTCACTGGACTGCTTGTGTAATTTTTTCTTACTCATAGATATGGTTTATTTGCGACGGGGTTTATTTTACAGTCAAGAAGAAATAAAAACTCCTCCATCTCTGCTGGGCAAGAAAAGCTCAACGAATCAAAACAGAAAAATTTATGTATTCACGATCTATTACATTCGGGCTATCAGTTATGTATCACGTGACTATATGGTCGATTTCCATTCCGGACCACGACTTTGAAGCTCGAGACCAATACCTCCACATCCAGATCCAAAACTCCCAAGATGGCAGTCTATCTCCTTTCAAAGTATGTCCTGATACACAGTTTTATCCGCAGCTTGAAACCTGCAAATTCCTGCCTGAGATACCCCGCCCAACTCCAAACCGCATCTCTCGAGCAATAACCTCTCCCGCATACCCAGTCCCAAACAACCCGTGACTAACACCTACTTCTACGATAAATAGACTCGGTGACCCTATCTTCGCCGTGACGATGGGCATCGCGGCTTCTCTCTCCCGCATCCGCCGTGAACAAATCGAAAAGACTCCCGAGAAAGCCTCGGAGATCGGCTACGGGACTATCGTACAACTGGGTCAACGACGATTGCAGCGGTGGTGGAATGGAGATTTTAAGGATCTTTGAAGGGACTGATACGACATGAAAAATTTTTTGACGAGGGAGATTGAAGAATAACCAACCACCTCTCTGTTGGTTGGCTAGGGCTGGAGGGATATTGAATCGAAAAGACCGGACTACACTGCACATATTTCCCATCGTTGGTTCGGGATGGAATTGGGAATACGGGGTTTCTGGTGTTTATAAATCTGGTTGGATTATGGGCCAAGTTTAATTGATTGATTGATACCTATCTTTGTCGGGGTGGAGCTTTTGCGACGGTATTTGTGATTTTCGTATATCGACACCAGCATGTCATCTTGTATGCCAGAAAATAAAATATCGGAAAGACAAGAAGAGCTGTTTCCAATGGGTCCAATCGTCGGGTTTCCGCAAAAAGCACACCTGCGATTGTCGAGTTCTAAGGGTACAGCCAGCAAGAGGGCTGGTATCAGTGGGCAAACCATGACCGCTTGAGATGTTCAGGTAGATACTCTGGCCATGCCAACAATGTCCTCAAACTTACATTTCATCTCTATTGTCCTATATCTACTCCAAGTTCAATTTTGTCATATACAACCATCAGCACTTCGCATTGAAAATACTAATACTATCTCCACAAGACGATCTATATAAGCTGGGAAGTATAACCCCCAGCACGTAACAACAAGAACAGACCAACCCTCAAACCCAAACATCAAACACTCTCCAAAACCCTCAAAATCTCCCTATAAGCCTCCTCAATCTCCTTCCTCTCATCCACCCAAAATCCAACCACCACCTCCCCTTCCCCTTCCCCTTCCCCTTCCCCTTCCCCATTCCCATTCCCATTCCCATTCGCATTCCCAAGACCAATATCCTCACCCGCAGCCGCCTTAACCAACACCTCTCTCCCGGGAAACGCCAACTCCACACCCTTCTCAACCACCCTCATCCTCACACCCGCCAAAACCTCCCTCAACTGCCGATTAGCCTTCCCACCCCCATGACCCCCATAACTAATCACGGCAGCCGGCTTCCCGCTCCACTCGTCGTAAAGATAATCAATCGCATTCTTGATCACGGCCGGGTACCCCCAGTTATACTGCGGCGTAACGAAGATAAATGCATCGTAGCGGGCGATTTCGGCACTCCAGGCGCGGGTATGGGCGTGGGTGTACTCAGATGGGTCTTTGATTTGGGAGGGGATGCCTGGTTCGTTGTACATGGGCAGGTTCCAAGTAGCCAGGTCGATGAGGTGGGTGGTTGATAGGACGGGGGTGTGCGGATTGTCGGTGTCGGGTTTAGCGGATTGGATTGTGGTTTGCACGAATTGGGCGATTTGAGGGCAGACGCGGGGGGTTCTGGTGCTGCAGACTATGATGCCGATTTTGGGGGGAGGAGAGCTGTTTGGAGTGTCCATTGTTTTTGGAGAATTGATGTTGATGTTGAGTAGATAGAAGGTAGAGATGCTTCTTCGTGGACCTGGGGATTGGGTGTATGAGAAGCGCCGAGGATAGAGGATTCTTGAGTGAAGTGAGTTTATCTGAAGGAATATAGGATTCTGGTTTAATCTGTTCTCTGGCTTTATACGGTTGATTTTATTAGAAACTTGGGGGGTTGAAATGCTTTAGTCTACTAAGATTTGCCTATTTAGGAAGATCTCTCCGCGGAGCAGTCTGGGACTCCCGCGGACGGGACATCGTGGAGACTTTGACTGTTGACTAAGTTCTCAAGAGGCAATGAGCATAAAACTAGGAAATTCAATTTAGACAAACAAGATTAAGTCATGTTGTTGTACCATTTTATTGACCTTGTGGCCTCACGTCGCCATCGTTGGTGGTTGGCTAGTCAAGCTCACATTAACACCTTCCAATTCAACCTTACTCCGTACAATTCCTGCGATAAGCGAATATGCACTGGTCCTACTCAAATTGAAGAAAATTGGAAATATAATTTGAGTCAATTCAAAACCAGGGAAAACTCAAGCAAGCAGGATTAGACCCAATATACATTCATTCCCAACCTTGTACCAACATCGTCGAAGATGATCTAAATATTACATTATACCAAGTCTACAAGTGAATTTAATTACGAGGGAAGATTTTTGAAGTAAAAAGAAATTTTGATTATCGCCAGGACTTTTTTGCCCCAGCGGAGATAACCTCGTATCTATGCAATCGGAAAAAATGAAAAAACGCGATATCCCATAAGGTCGTAAAACAAGACATGAAAAAAGAGAAGAGCTCCTAGCCAGATCCCCGAGCCGAAACGGTTGAATATGTCAACCAAGTTTCAAAAGGGGCAAAAGCCAAGCGCCATGAAAATCAGAAAGAATCCTCAGTGCGAGACATTTAGTCGAGCTCCTCGGGCTTCTCCTCGACATCGTCAGCGGTGCGGGGAGCAGCGCCGGGGGCGCCACCGGGGGCAGCACCGCCGTAGGCAGCGGAGATGATGGGGTTGGCAACGCTCTCCAGCTCCTTCTGCTGGGACTCGTACTCGTCCTTCTCGGCAGTCTGGTTGTTGTCGAGCCAAGAGATGACCTCATCAATCTTCTCCTCGACCTTCTTCTTGTCCTCGTCGGAGATCTGGAGCTTGCCCTCGGACAGGGTGTTCTTGAGGGAGTAGGCGTAGGACTCGAGGCCGTTCTTGGCCTGGATACGGCCAGCCTCGGCCTCATCCTCGGCCTTGTACTTCTCGGCCTCAGCGAGCATGCGCTCGATCTCCTCCTTGGACAGACGGCCCTTGTCGTTGGTGATGGTAATCTTGTTGGTCTTACCAGTGCCCTTCTCGACGGCGGAGACGTTCATGATACCGTTGGCATCGAGATCGAAGATGACCTCAATCTGGGGGACACCACGGGGAGCGGGGGGAATGCCAGTGAGCTCGAACTTGCCGAGGAGGTTGTTGTCCTTGGTGCGGGCACGCTCACCCTCGAAGACCTGGATCAGGACACCGGGCTGGTTGTCGGAGTAGGTGGAGAAGGTCTCAGACTTCTTGGTAGGGATGGTGGTGTTGCGCTTGATCAGAGGGGTCATGACACCACCAGCGGTCTCGATACCGAGAGACAGAGGGGCAACGTCGAGAAGCAGGATCTCGTTGGTGGACTTGGAGGAAGTGTCACCGGACAGGATAGCGGCCTGGACGGCAGCACCGTAGGCAACGGCCTCATCGGGGTTGATGGACTTGTTGGGGTCCTTGTTGAAGAAGTCGGAGACGAGCTTCTGGATCTTGGGGATACGGGTGGAACCACCGACGAGGACGATCTCGTGGACGGAAGCCTTGTCGATCTTGGCGTCACGGAGGACACGCTCAACGGGCTCCATGGTGGAGCGGAAGAGGTCCTGGCAGAGCTCCTCGAAACGGGCACGGGTGATGGAGGTGTAGAAGTCAATGCCCTCGAACAGGGAGTCGATCTCGATGGAGGTCTGGGCAGCGGAAGAGAGGGTGCGCTTGGCACGCTCGCAAGCAGTGCGGAGACGACGGAGAGCACGAGCGTTGGTGGTCAGGTCCTTCTTGTGCTTACGCTTGAACTCGTTGACGAAGTGGTTGACGAGACGGTTGTCGAAGTCCTCACCACCCAAGTGAGTGTCACCAGCAGTGGACTTGACCTCGAAGATACCCTCCTCAATGGTGAGGAGAGAAACATCGAAGGTACCACCACCCAGATCGAAGATCAGGACGTTACGCTCACCCTCGACCTTCTTGTCAAGACCGTAGGCAATGGCGGCGGCAGTGGGCTCGTTGATGATACGGAGGACGTTGAGACCGGCAATGAGACCGGCGTCCTTGGTAGCCTGACGCTGAGAGTCGTTGAAGTAGGCGGGGACAGTGATGACAGCGTTGTTGACGGTGCCACCGAGGTAAGCCTCAGCGGTCTCACGCATCTTGACGAGGATCATGGCAGAGACCTCCTCGGGGGTGAACTGCTTGGCCTCACCCTTGAACTCGACCTCGATGATAGGCTTGGTGGCCTTCTCGACGACCTTGAAGGGCCAGTGCTTCATATCAGCCTGAACCTCGGCATCCTCGAAACGACGACCGATCAGACGCTTAGCATCGAAGACGGTGTTGTGGGGGTTCATGGCGACCTGGTTCTTGGCGGCATCACCGATGAGACGCTCGGTGTCGGTGAAGGCAACGAACGAGGGGGTAGTACGGTTACCCTGGTCGTTGGCGATGATCTCAATGCGGTCATCACGGAAGACACCCACACAAGAGTAGGTGGTACCCAAATCGATACCGACAGCGGGGGCCATTGTGAAGTATGTGAATGTGTGTGTGTGGGGGAGAGCGATGGAGTCGTAAGAAAAGGAAACTCGTGAAGTGTAGTGTACAGGAGAATGGGAGGGGGAAGGAGGAGAGAGGATTAGAAAGTAAAGTGAAGTCTGAGAAGAAAAAAAAGAAAGAGGCTAGGAGTGTGGGCAGCGAAATCCTGCTATATAGTGAGCGGTGTATTGTTCAGAAGCTTCTAGCAGGGGCAGCTTCCATGGGCATCCATCGGGTTCCACGGCCTTCCATGCCCCAGCAACAGCCAGTCTACGCCTTTCTGGAGGCCAGCCGGGCCTTCCAGACGGGTCTAGTGGGGTCTAAACATTGCGACAAGCTACTTGAAGGCGTCAGAAGATTCGGGACCGGGTTCAATTGGCCCTTGGAAAGCTTTTGACCTTTGTACATTGTTGATGCTTTCGGTCGAAGATTTTGGCGGGGCAAAAGTGATGTAATCGATGGTGGGATGACTTTTGTGGCCTCTCAATTGTTACGGTGAGTCACGGTGTACTGGTCCTGTACGTCACATTCAGTCGTCGCCGCCACGGGCTGGCAAGGGGACGAGTCCGCAGCGTATTGGTATGGTCACCCGTTTGAGGGCGTCATGATGAATTCATGGACTCCACCGCCTGCGAAAGGAAAGACTCACGTGGATGGCCTCATATGTGGCAGCCTCAAATAATAGGCATTAAGTTTTTTTGAACTCTATGCCTCAGGCAGTAATGTTACTAAGGCCACAAGGCAGAAAGGCAGCAAGGCCACGAGACAGCCACAGGGTCCTGCCGAGACCCTAAAGTCTGAATTTCGCAGGTTTGGTACTTTGCTAGGACCTCCCAAGCGCCACAACAAAGCCTCTCGGATACTCCTGCCGAAGATTATAAATTGACTATCCAAGTAGATCATGCACCTATCCAATTCCTGCATAATAAACGCAAGATTCATCAACGAACACCCGTTGGGCTTCCACTGCCAGAATCTGCCGTAGCCAGTACCTAGTCCCCGTATACCCATAGCAAGGAAACCAAAAACAAAATAAAACCACACCGGCCTTTGCGTCAGCCAGAACTCCTAGTGACACATAGAAATCCATTCGACAACCCAAGACCCAATCACCATGCCAATCAGGCCACTAACTCACCGAAGTTGATCAAGTCTTGGGGCCTTCTTATCTCTGGATTTGTACTTTAAGGTAAAACGCCCGCGGCACTAACCGTCCCTGGGCGCTCGGGGCTGATAACGCCATCCGCGCTAGGTTTGACTGGCCATTGGAGTTGAATCCTCTTCAAGCTCACGAAGCTTTCTTGGTCTATTGCACGCGTCCAATGCAACACTCCGCACGTTAGCCTTGATCGTGTCTGTTGCGACCCACGAACTCTGCATGTCGATTGGTCACACTGCAAATGCATGCGCCTGGACGATTGGTGATTCGGTATGCCCGTCGGACAATCTTCGCTCTTTCCGTATGACTACGAGACAATGGGGTCGCACGCCATAAAGGCACATGAAATTTTACACGAGTAGTTATTTTATAAAAAGAAAACGTCTCACATTTGCCCTTGCATAGCCTAATCTTCCTTCTGTTCCCCTCCTCCCTCCCCCGCCACTTGCTGGAATTCAAACCCGTAGAGACACTCGGTCTCTCTTCCAGTCGTTGCACAAGATGGCGCTTCTGGATGTAATAAAGCGAAGACGCCAGGCTGCTAGGCAGGAGGATGAACCCACGGTGACGGTTGCCGAAGATAATGTCGAGATCCCCCTACCGTCGAAAGATAAGCTGGACGGCACCCTCGTAGATGAGGAGACGATCAAGGTGCAGGGCGAAACGGCCGCCATTGAGCAGGAGAGTCACGATAACCCCGAAATCGCCGCGCTGCCCTTGCAAGTGCGCCAACTGATCAACTTGACGGACGACCCGACTCTACCGACCATTACCTTCCGCTACTTTGTACTGGCAGCTCTATTCGTCATCCCGGGCGCCTTTCTATCCCAGATGAGCTATTTCCGGACAACCAAAGCTCCATACTCGGTCTTCTTTGTCCAGATCGCCTCTCATTATGCCGGTCATTTCTTGGCTAGAACATTGCCCGCCTGGAAGATTCGAGTGCCCGGAACTAGCTGGGGATTCAACTTGAACCCGGGACCCTGGAGTATCAAGGAACACGTGCTGGTCACCGTGACCGCGGCCTCTGGAGCCACCTATAACTTGGGGTACGCCCCGATCGTTCTCGCAGAGCTATGGTATGGAGAGCGGATCAACCCTGCCGTGGCTATCTTCTTCATGCTTTCAATCGTGTGGATTGGATACGCCTTTGCTGCACTGGCACGAAACATCCTCCTGCCGGATCCCGAGTACATCTGGCCCCAGGCTCTGATGCAGACTACACTCTTTGAAACGTTCAGAAAGACGGATACCTCTTCACGCCTTGCACGGCGCCAAATGAAGGTATTCTTCTTTGCTTTACTGGGAATGACGCTCTGGCAGTTCCTTCCCGAGTACGCCTTCCCATTTACCTCCTCTTTGGCCTTCCTCTGCTGGGTTGCGCCGCGAAACCCAGTGGCCAACTTTATCGGCTCTGGCCTGGGAGGCATGGGCTTCCTCAACCTCTCCCTGGATTGGTCGAACATCAACTGGAACGGATCTTCCATCATGTTGACCCCATTCTGGACACAAGTTCTCCTGTTCTTGGCCTTTGCCTTTAATTGCTGGGTCCTCATTCCTGCAGCGAAATGGGGAAATATGGGGTCTTTCAAACATGGAATCATGTCTAATAGCTTGATGTTGGCGAACGGTACGACCTATCCGACTACCAAGGTTCTCACCCCCGATTATCACCTCAACCAGACCGCGTACGAACACTACGGTCCCATGTACATGGGCTTGCAGAACGTGTGGGCCACTTTCTTCGACTACGCAAAGCTTCCAGCTGCTATTACCTGGATAGCGACGTTTGGCTTCTCACAAGTCAGCGCAAACTTGAAAAAGATCTTTGAAAGTCGCAAGGCGGCCAAGGCTGCCAAGGCTGCTGGAAACCAGACCCAGGACCAGGGTATTCACCACGCATATCACGATCGTCTGAATGTAATTCAGAGACAATACAAGGAGATTCCACTTTGGTGGTACTTTTTGCTGTTCCTGGCCGGATTCATCATCCTGATCACTTGCATCGCGTGTGGATATCTCTTCATTCCGATCTGGACCTTGTTCGTGGCTCTTTCCAGTGCAGCCGTCTTCGTCATTCCATTCGCATGGCTCTATGCCATTTCCAACTATCAGCTAGAGACGGGCTCATTCAATGAGTTGATGTATGGTTACATGGTGCACACCAAGGCAGGTTCAAGCCATCAACACCCATGTGGACCCTCCGTGTACGGATCCATCGCCGGAGATGCCTGGTACCGAGCGCAGTATATGTTGCAGGACCAGAAAATCGGACACTATATGCACATTCCCCCACGGGAGATCTTCTTCTCCCAGATCTTCGGTGTCTGCATGGGTGTTCCTATCAACTACGCGGTCATCCGGTGGATCATGGATACCAAGGGTGACTATATCACCGGCAAGAAGACTGATCCTCTCAACCAGTGGACTGGGCAGAGTCTTCGGAACTCGAACACGATGGGTGTCCAGTATGCCATTCTGGGACCGAAGCGACTCTTCGCTGAAGCCGAGATGGCACCGCTGCCCTGGTCGTTCCTCGTGGGTGCCGTCATCCCACCCATCCTCTATGTCTTCCACCGGTTCTTCCCGCGGTTGCGCATTGATCTGTGGAATGTCAGTATTTTCTTCGGCGGTCTGGCCATGTTCTACGGAAATGTTAGCACTGGCTATACGTCGGCGATTATTGGCGGGTACATTGTGATGTACTGGGCATACCGCAAACACTTTGAGGTGTGGAAGCGCTATAACTATCTGATTGCAGCTGCATTCGATGCTGGGTTCAACCTGAACATGCTGCTTATCTTTTTCTTCTTTGGTGCCGGCAAGCAGATCTCGATGCCCAGCTGGTGGGGGAATAATAGCGAGTCAGTTGAGCGGTGCTTTGCTCTGGAGAGCTAGGGATTGCCACCATTCTTGAGAAAAACAGGTGATAGTGCTTTGATAGTTTAAGAAGAAGACATGATGAATATTCTCTACTCTATCTGAAGTCCTCGTAAACGCAGAACTCACTAGCTGTATCCGTAGTTCATCACCTGCAACCGCCGAGTCCAGGCATACATCCATGCCTGAGGCCGCCAGGCACCCAGCCCCACAGCGGCGAATCACATCACGGGATCGAGGCCGTCCCTTACTGTTGCGGCTTGTTTTGGTTGGAGAGCTACACCTTGCAGACCGTCTCTTTTAAATCCTCCCTATTCCACTCTCCCTGTTTCTCTCCTCCAATCCACATCTTCTCCATCCTCTCCCCCTTTGAATTCACAACTCTTCGACCATGGGTGACCACGCTACCATCAACGACGCCTCCGCCACCGATGCTGCCTTCGCCGACAAGGGCAAGGGCAAGGGCAAAACCCAGGACCCCGAGCTGAGCATGGAGGAGGACAGTGACTCCGAGTCTGACAATGGCGATGAGATGGTATGCTTACCTAGCGCGTTACCCGTTACTATGGGAATCATGACCTTGACTAATTCGTTGCAATAGGTTGACAACGGTACATAACCCCTCCTACCCCCCACCTACAACCCAGCACCGTCACCCTCTAGTTTACCCCGGCGCTTTTCCGTCACGGTCCAATGACTGGACGCGCCTTCCTCCGACCCCTTCGCGATACCTCAATGCCCTCGAAACATTCCTCCTTCCTCAATTTCCACAATACTAACAGGCTACCACAGACGACGAGGAAGCCGACGACAACCTGGAGCCCATCTCCGAAGACAACATCATTTCCGGCGGCCGCCGCACCCGCGGCAAGAACATCGACTGGCAGGAAGTGCGCAACAAGAACTCTGATGAGATGGAGGAGGACGAAGACGACGACGAGGACTACCAGGGTGGTAACGATGACGACCAGATGCGCGATTAAGCGCGCATCTAGTCGCCATGACGCACTGCGTACAAAGCTCAAGCTCTGATGATATATGACTGGCTTTGGAGGATCGGCGCTTAGGTGGATGGGTTGCTCTCTCGGTCGTGTCTTCAGGGCATCTTCTCTTTTCCCTTCCCCCCTTCCTCTGGTTTGCCTTGCTCGGGTGGATCTCTTCTATATCTACGGATGATGGGAGATGCTTCCCCAATGTAAGGGTTGAGGATCGGGTTCGTGCGCTGCTTGTACAGCAATGACTATGACTCAATGAAGCTCGCTTGATTTTTAAATTTGTGTTCTGGCTCAAAGTACTGTCTCTGATCCTGAGTACGCAGCTGCTGACAGTGGTGCGGTTGTTGTAGAGAGGAGTCGTAGATCTGTAGAACTTGATCGATGCGAACAGTCCGTGACGCACCCAACTGATGGTACCACCCAGTCCAAGGCATAGTTACACAATCCCAAGCCATTGCAATGATCATTAACCAAAAAAGAAGATTTAGAATTAAATTTGCTCGTCTACAAAGAGTAAACCAAGCCCCATCACGTGCAGCCGGCTTGGTCTCGGCCGCCCATACGCTTTGGCCACCTGTGTTTTTGTTCTCCGCAAGCATCGAAAGAAGCACCACACCCAAAGAACAGCCGACACCTGGTCTCCAGCATCGCGCAATGTCCCCATTCCACCATTAAGACACTACAAAACCACGCACTGAATCTGACCACTCTACCTTACCCCGCGGTTCACCGAACCACCCACGATCCGCCATGGCTTCACGGTATACTCCCGATTGCCCTCCCCTTTCTTGGCAGTCTATTGCAGTCGGCTAGAACCCATATGCACTCGGACTCGAAATGAAACTTGCAACTAACCTGAGGTATACTTCTGGGGTAGATTCCCACGCCAACGAGATCCCCGCTCATCCTCCTCTCTATTCGACTCGTACGGTGGTGGCGACTCACGACCCGCAAGCAGGTCCCCAGCTTCGGCAGGCGGATATGGATATGGAGGGTATGCCGGGCCCGCAGCCAATGCTTATCCCAACGTTAACGGGAGTGCGAGTTTCCGCAGTGCGACACCGGATAAGAAGTACGTATCTAGCAAGATTGAAAGCAGTAGTCCTTGCGGACACAGTCTTATGTTGTTGGGGATTGTGATAGAGTCTAACGTTGATTGTAGGGGCCACTACTCCGATGCCGTGCTCTCGTCACTCGAATCCCAGAATGACGCCGAGGTGGAAGGTATCACGGCGAAAGTGAAGATGCTGAAAGATGTAAGCAGTTCCCGCGCCTCCAGTCAATACACACACATGAGATCGGACAAAGGTCTCGTTTCTAAAGTCAGATCACTGATTTTTGCCTACGTGTTAGATGACGATAGCTATTGGCGACGAAATCCGCGATACGTCGTACCTGAACACCCTCGAGAATTCTTTTGAGAGTACGCGAGTAAAGCTCCGTGGAAATATGAACCGCATGCTGCGCATGGCGGAGCGGACCGGCGTCGGCTGGAAAGTCTGGTTAGGCTTCTTTGCGGCCGTTTTCTTTTTGTTCTTTTATGTGTGGGTGTTCTAGGGGACCACACAAGAGACCGCTTATAACCATACGCTCTTGGAGTTTTGACTCGCGAGCTATACGCTCTATTTAATCTGTGGATGGCGAGATAGTGGAATACGGAGTGAGATGCCGCCACGAAGGTCCCGGCCATGACCTTTGGCCTTTGGTCTTTTGGCAGGACAGTTTCTACATACAAAGCTTGTCATTCCTTGCATGATATTCATTCGGCTGCGGCGTTTGGGGGTCTTTGTCTTTGTCTTTTCTTCTCTTTCCCCAAGCTTTGTGGCTGGGGCCTGCTATTCGCCCTTTTGAGTTCATTATCGATTCTCAAGACAAGTTCAATGTGCGTCCTTGCGCTGGATTCACGAGAACTTCCATCTTGATATGCTTGTATATCGATTGGCAAGCCTGGCTGGGAAGGGACCCAGGCTGCTGGGTTTGGGGGATGTATCAGTACATAATAATACGTTGTGCACATAGAGTGGCCGCTTTGGGGATCGCTCTTGTAATAGAATCATATCTTTTTCTTTTCTCATCTTCTCATTGCCTTTTCTGCACTGATGAGTCCTTCGCACCCTTCGTCTTCGATGCTCGTCAAATCCTGAGCATCGGCTTCCGGAGGGCGTTGTGTATTCTGATGCCTTGGATGTTGATGTGATACTCTGCATGATATTGAGAGTACGATTAACAGACCGATCGACCTATTATGACTTCAAGGATGCTTGTGACTCTATTGGATTTCCATCTGCCACGCGAACGCCTAGGTGAAAATGAGCCATCTATATGTTGTGAATATCGTACATTATCTCCAAGTCAGCCTAGGCCAGCTCAACAAGACACGTTGACTCCATGATTCCATCCCAGAAAATGCCATAGCCCAATGCAGACGCTAAAAAGACGAAATAAGCCATATCGCGCAAGACAAGGCCAAACACCGGCTCAATTAAGGCTATCCCTTGGACCACCGACCCGACGAGGATAATGTCGACCAAAGCCACTGCGCCGACTACTCTGGCTAGTAACCGAAGCACGCAGGTCATCCTCCTCGAACATCATACTGCTCGAGTCCAATGCATCACCACCTCCACTCCAGCGATTGATAAATCGCCGCTGAGCGTCAGTCTCGCCCTGCGTATCCCGCCGCATAAACGGCGGAGGCGGCAGTCCACGACTGTTCGGCGTGCTCGTCCGGAAATTCGCCATGCGCGGGCGTGTAATACTCCCGTCGTCGTGGTCTTCATCCTCATTCTCGTCATCAAGTTCGTCCTCCGTATCCGTATGCTGCCACTCGCCCTCCTGCTCGGATCCCTCTTCCGCCGCGTCGGGAATATCGTCGTCCAAATCACGACTGAGATCCTCGCTCCCGGCAGCATCGGGGATCTCCGCGTCCAGATCGGGCTGGTTGTCAAAGTCCTCGTCGACCTCTTCCTCGTACAACCCCGATTCGTCCTCGTAGTCATCATCGGGGTATCCCTCGGGAATTTCATCGTCCAAGTCCCGCTCCATGAACCCTTCCTCATCACCCAATCCATCCTCCTCGAGTCCCTCTTCACCCTCCTCCACGAGCCCCTCCTCCGCCTCGGGGATATCATCGTCCAGGTCGCGTTCCATACCCTCTTCCTCCTCGCCCTCTTCACCCATCGTTATCCCCCCATCATCGGGGTCAAGCCCTCCGGCTGCAGCGGCCTCCTGTTCCGCAGCCAGCGCTGCAAGCGCCTCCTCACGCTCGGCCTCTTCTTCTTTCATCCCCAGCATAGTCTTGGCGCAGCCCGCAGGCCGGATCCAAGAGTAGCCGAAGGAGGCAATGTTATTCTTGCGCACACGTAGGGCACGCTCTTCAGCTTGCAGAGCGGCGAGGGTACTGTTAGGGGCGCGGGAGTGGGAGAAGCCGCGGTGACTGGCTGGGTTTTGGGCATTGTTGCGACGGTTTGCGTGATGGGCCGGGATTTCGGGGCCGGATTGTTGTGAGGAAAGGGTTCGGTAGGAGTGAGGGGCACCGAACCAGAGCTCGTGGGACTGGTATCTTTATGTTAGGGATGTCTGGGATGTAGTTGGCATCGGGGAATGAGGCTTACGTCTTGCGGGGAGATGAAGGGGAGTGAGAGCATTGTTGCGCTGGTGCTGGCGCGTGCCTCGATTGCAGATACTGAAGTGGGAGTAGACTCGATGAGACACTCAGAACAGCTGAGTAGATTATATCTGCGGCTGTGCGTGTGCAACTCGCGACGGTGTGAAGGTATGAGGGATGCAGTCGGTGGCAGTAGCTGTGATCGGCGGAGATCACTTTGGCGAGCCCAGCTTCGATTGTAGTGAGGCTGTAGCAACTCGGTCTCTCAAATTCAGGCTCCACCTAAGTCCACACAAGGTCTATCAGAATCCAATCTGCAAAAGGCAGGATCTCGAAAGGTTGTTAGAATTCAAGTGAAGCTCAGAAGCGGAGGTAAGGCGGGCAAAAAGTCGCGGGCTCCACCAACCACAACATTGCCGGAATTGCGGGGAGACACACCAAGGCTCTAGCTTGTCTTAACTCAATAAGATGCCCGATGTTTATTAGTTAATTCCTATAAATCTCAATCGCATAGAATGAATCATGATTGGATGATCCAAAGTTTTGTAGAATTATGGCCTTCCACCCAGCATATTGAATAAAGATTTGCAAAACATCGTCATGGAAACGTGCAAGCACCAATACAAACAAGACTCTGCAGACGCCAGTCTCCAAAGAAGAACCGTAATTGAGCTAACCAAAGGAAGCCTGGTCAAGACTCTTTATGTTCATAGACTCATTTCTTTAAAGGATCTACCATTACATACCTAGCCTTGTAGTTGAATCTATCAGACTATGTATTCAAGTCTTCTTATAGAAGCACGGTATTAAAGACATCCGTTAGATCCTTATTATCAGGATAAAAAGATCACATATCACCAACTATGGTTCCAATAACTTGAAGAACAAACACAGCCCCCAGCCATCAAGTCAATCCCGAGGAGAGTCTGCAGGCCCCAGAGGCAACTTCGCCTTGCGCTCCAAGAGAGGCGGAATGCATTGCAAGGAACGACGATTCGATTTAGCCCTAGCATGCGCTGGAATCAGCAGACTCAGGGGCAGAGACTCGTTCAAAGATTCCCGCTGGCCCGTCTGTTTCTTACCACGTAAGAAGTTGCGTCCTGGTGGTTCCTTGGACGAACTCTGGGAGCACAGGTCTAGCGTGATAGTATCGTCTAATGCTTGTCCTGCACGATTGCTTTCGGGTTCTCCAGTTAATTCCAGGAGTTCAGAAGGCCAACGGACTTTTTCTGGCTCACTCGATGATCCTCCATCGAGAATGTGCTGCAGGTTCTCCATCACTTTGAACGAGTCGCCTAATGATATTTCATCATGATTGTCACTCCGCATCTCCTCATCAACATCCCATTCCCTCTCCAGTATCTCACCCAAGCCCACCCTCTCAGACGACGAAAAAGAGCTGGCCATATCCGTCAAAGCCAGCGACTTAACGCTCTCACCGTTACTCAGTTCACGACTGTTACTCGCACTTTCATGTTGACTATCACGTTCAGTACTCCCCTTCCCAATCCAACCCTCATTGCCTGCCTCCTCCCCATCGCTCCCTTGCTTGTTAACAGCCCTAACACGGCACTTGACATCGAATGGATAGGTAGTCCCTGAACGTCTCTGACGAGATTTTCGGACTTCCACTATGCCGAGTGCATACGCAAGGGTATGGAAGGGGAGGGGGCTTAGGGCGAGATAGTGGATTTGGTGGATTAGGAGGAGGAAAAGAAGGATTGGTATATTTTCAATCATTCGTTTAGACGGGATTTGTGGGGTTGACTTTGTAGAATGGGGGAATCCAAGGTATTTATTCCTTTGGGAGGGTTGATGCGGTAGGCTTTTATTAGATTAATGGCTTTGTTGAGAAGTTAAGTCGTTGGCTTTGTTTTGTAGGCTTAATCTAGGAATCTAAACAAAGATATGAATTTTCTTTTTGCGATTTTGTGTGCACCATCTTTAAGCCTATGTTCAACAAATTCTTCTTGAAATCTAGGTAGTCGAGGAATATGACAGAGAGGAGAGAGCAAGGATTCTCTTAATCAGATCCTATATTGTCGCGAAAAGCTAACATTTTGGGCTGAGCCACTCACGAGGCCCTGGGTACCAAGATCTTCTACAATCTATAGACTACAAACGACGGAAAATTATCGAGATAAAATTCAAATAGAATACTCGATGAGTAAAAAATAAGCGTAAGAGGTATGTACCACAAATGAGAAAGCACCGCAAGCAGACGCTCTAAACACCTTGCATAGAGAAACGCTGCGAACATAAAGCCAAGGAAGATCAAAAACCATGAGAACATGAGCGTAAGTATGAGGGGGGGCATAAGCAGCAGCACACATGGACATCAAAGAAAACAAGGCAAAAGGGATTTTCAAGAAGAAAAAGACCTGCCCACGCTGCAGTCTAGAAATGAAAAAGGGCCAATCCAGCCATTCCGTTTTGAGTAAAACTTTTTTTAATTTTGGGGCGCATCTTGCTTTCACCGTTCTCCAATGAATCTCCAATGAAGCAAAGTGAAGTCAAACATGCTTCGTAGTCATCAACCCTCGTTAGATATGTATCACTTGAACTATGAGTTCTCAACACGTTTAAGCGACGACCTGGGTCTCGGCCAGTTGGGGGACAGAGTCAATAGCCGGACGGCGGACAATACCTCCAGTCACGGGGAGCTGGGAGCTGGTGCCACTGAGGAAGGTATCGACTTCACGAGCGGCCTGGCGACCCTCGTTGATACCCCAGACAATCAGGGATTGGCCACGACGGCAGTCACCGGCAGCGTAGACACCGGGGAGGTTGGTCGAGTAGTGACCAGGTTGAGTCTTGACGTTCTTGCGTGGGTCACGCTCGATCTCGTCGCCAAGAAGACGGTCCTCGGGACCCAGGAAACCCATAGACAGGAGGACCAGGTCAGCGGGGAAGAACTGCTCACTGCCTTCGACGGTCTTCATGTCCCAACCACCAGTGGCGCTCTTGGTCCACTCAACACGGACGGTGTTGATACCCTTGACGCGGCCGCTGCCGTCGTCGACGAACTCGGTTGACATGACGCAGTACTCACGAGGGTCCTTGCCCATGTGAGTCTTGACCTCAGAGTGACCGTAGTCAATACGGTAAATGCGGGGCCACTGAGGCCAGGGGTTGTCACCGGCACGCTCTGGGGGAGGCTGGGGCAGCAGCTCGAAGTTGGTAACGGACTTGGCACCGTGGCGGACAGAGGTACCAATGCAGTCGTTACCGGTATCACCACCACCGATGACAACGACGTGCTTGTCCTTGGCAGAGATGTACTCGCCGTCAGACAGACCGGAGTCCAGAAGAGACTTGGTGTTCTTGTGCAGGAACTGCATGGCAAAGTGAACACCCTCCAGCTCACGACCGGGGACCTTGAGGTCACGGGCAACAGTAGCACCGGTAGCGAGGATGACGGCATCGTTGGAGGCACGCAGGGACTGCAGGGTGACCTCACTGTCGGGACCAACGGCGGTGTTGGTGACGAACTTGATGCCCTCGGCGGCCATGAGGTCAACACGGCGCTGGACAACCTTCTTGTCAAGCTTCATGTTGGGGATACCATACATGAGGAGACCACCAATACGGTCAGCGCGCTCGTAGACAGTGACAGAGTGACCAGCACGGTTCAGCTGGTCAGCAGCAGCCATACCAGCGGGACCGGAACCAATGACAGCGATGTTCTTGCCGGTGCGGACCTTGGGAGGACGAGGCACCATCCAACCCATCTCGAAACCGCGGTCAATGATGGCACACTCGATCGACTTGATACCGACAGGGTCCTCGTTGATACCCAGAACACAGGCACCCTCGCAAGGAGCAGGGCAGACACGACCAGTGAACTCGGGGAAGTTGTTGGTCATGAGCAGACGGTTAAGAGCATCCTGCCATTGGTTCTGGAAGACAAGCTCGTTCCACTTGGGGATAATGTTGGAGATGGGGCAACCAGTATCGGACTGGCAGAAGGGAACACCACAGTCCATGCAACGAGCGGACTGGTACTTGAGCTCATCTTCGCTGAGACGGTTGGACAGCTCGGCCCAATCGCGGGTACGAGTAGAGGGGTTGCGGTACTTCTCGCTGCGGCGACTGTACTTCATGAAACCGCGGGTCTTGTCCAGGATCAGGGCGGAGCGCTTCTTCTCGGCCTTCTCATCGCTGATGCTGTCCTCAATGTCCAGCAGGTCGGCCTTCTTCTCATCAGCGTGAGCCTTGGGCTTCTCGGCGGGGGTGCTGGGAAGCTGGGGCAGAGCAAACTCGGCCTTCTTGGCAGCGGCAGCCTTGGCGGCCTCTTCCTCCATAACACGCTTGTAGTCGGTAGGCAACACCTTGAGAATGTGAGGAAGAGCACGGGTGAAGTCGAGAAGAATGCGGGCAGCCAGTTCGGAGCCAGTGTAGTGATGGTGGTCCTCGATCAAGCCGCGAACAAAGGCAATCTCGGAGGGGTCCTCAATACCAGAGACCTCGACCATCTCCATGTTGACCTTGGAGTGGAAGTCCTGGTTCATGTCCAGCACGTAGGCAATACCACCAGACATACCAGCAGCGAAGTTACGGCCGGTAGGTCCGAGAATGAGGATACGACCACCGGTCATGTACTCGGCACCATGGTCACCGCAGCCCTCAACGACGGCAGTAGCACCAGAGTTACGGACAGCGAAACGCTCAGCAGCAACACCACGGAAGTAGCAAGTACCGCGGGTAGCACCGTACAGACAGGTGTTACCAACAATAACATTCTCCTCGGCCTTGAAAGCAGCGCCACGAGGAGGGTAGACAATGAGGCGACCGCCGGACAGACCCTTACCGACGTAGTCGTTGGCATCACCCTCAAGCTCCAGGGTAACACCAGGGGCGAGGAAAGCACCGAAGGACTGACCAGCAGAACCCTTGATGTTGGCGTGGATGGTGTCTTGGGGCAGACCAGCCTCGCCGTAACGGCGACTGATCTGGTAGGAAAGGGTGGCACCAAGACCACGGTCAGTGTTGACAACATCGCACTCGATGCGGCAGGGGAGACCCTTCTCCAGGGCAAGCTCAGACTCGAAGATCAACTTGTTGTCGAGACGAGTGTGCAGCTTGTGGTCTTGCTTGCGGACGTTGTAGGTAGCAACACCCGGGCGGAGAGAGTGAGCAGGAGTCAGGATCAGGGAGAGATCAATGCGCTCCTGCTTGAGGTTGCGAAGATCATCGCGAACCTTGAGCAGCTCAGCACGACCAACCATCTCATTAACAGTACGAACACCAAGCCTGGCCATGATGGCACGCATCTCGTTGGCGACATAGTAAAAGAAGTTGATCACGTGCTCCGGGGAACCCTTGAACTTCTTCCGGAGCTCCGGGTCCTGGGT